GTGTCTATACATGCGTAGGAACGAGAGACGCTGATAGTTTTAAATTCTTAAAAATATTTTTTGCAATTTAGTCAAATTCATCTGCCGAAGAAATATATATATAGTCATCCAAATACAGACTGTTTCGCTGTATCACAGTTCTTCAGTGTGGCTAGACATCTGATTGCTTCAAGCCGGGATCGAAACCCGACCGATTTAGCATCAGTCAAAGATCCTACCCCTAGCCAATAGTCGCACGGCAGAGAGAAGGGGAAATTTTAACTTTTTCTATACGAAATTCTCTAGTAGCCAGGAGAGCTCAATTCATAGTTGAAGAGCAATGCGTTAATAGCAGTAGGAGCAACTGTTTTTTTTAAATTACCCTTTTCTCCAGAGAGCTCAACCGGATTTCCCGAGAGCATATATATAGTCATCCACAGACAGACTGTTTCGCCGTATCACGCTGTGATACAGCGAAACATTGTGTATTAGGATATTACACCGAAAACATATCAAAATGGCTACACCATTGCTGGTCACTAAACGATTTCTTTAGATTTAAAAGCAAAATACCTCTTTTTATGAAAGAGGAGGAAAAAGGGCGTTATAAGTTTTGTGGGCTTCATTCTGATCAAGCAATCAAATATGACGTACGTTAAATTTAAACTAAGCGAAGAAGCAATTAATTTAAAATTATTTTTTATAAATGGATCATAACCCGCAGTTAACGGCAGCCAGACATAAACTAAAGCGGATAAAAATAGTTACGTAAATTATGCAAACTGGATCATGCCGTTTCCTAAGAACTAAAAATGGGGTGAAGAGATAATTTAACAAAATGCTAAAGAAGTTATATGCTGTGTGAATTTCCTGCATAATTTTTTTATATTTGATAAATAAATAGCTTCTTTAAGAAACTAGTAAATAGTTTAAACGTATAGAATTATTTGGTAAATTAATATGCAACTGTTGAATAAAGGTTCTTCATTTACGATGTTAATAATACTAACCAATCAATGTAACATGTCGAAAATATCAACCAAATACTAATACTACCAGGAGATTAATACAGAATTATATTAAATCTAAATTAATCTTACAAATAGAAAGATAAGCCATATATGGTGCAATGCAGTGCAACTCAAATATAAGAAAAAGTATAATCAAATTCCAAAGTTTAACTAAATTGTAAGGTAAAAGGTAAACTGTGTTTACATTTTACAGTTAATTCATTTCTTTGATTTAATAAGGAATTTTTATTGAATCTGATAATTTTCAATTTTTCATGTAAGCACAGAAAATATGATTCATATAAAGAGCTACATGTCCGTGTGGTTTTTAAAATTTTCCACTTCACCTTAGGAATCTTATTATCATCTTTTAAACTCAAAAAAAAATTTAGAAAGTGGTGTATCATTTCTGTAAAGAAGATAAAACGCTGATAGGAACATTACTGAGGTTTCGACGACCAATGTATTGTCAGGTGGTTTACTCAGCGAATTAATCAGAGACAACGCAAGAATTTAAATATCTTAATGCGGCACCGGAAGTAATGGGGGAATAGGAGTGGGAAACATGGTCGGGGAGAAAAAATAATGAGACGGAAAAGAAAAATATTAGGTACTGATAGATAGATAGATAGATAGATAGATAGATAGATAGATAGATAGATTATTTTTGTAGATATTTTTAGGCAAAACCCTTTGGGGAATTGTGGTTATTCCTATGTAAACAAGTATATGCATATAATTTACATATGTAGATGTGTCATATTTGTGTGTATTTTTGTATTATTTTACTTAGATGTGCATATTTATTTTTATCATATTTCTACCCTGATAGCTTGAACTATAGAAGGACCTGCTCGAGTGCAACTGATCGAATACGGAGAGAATATAGGGGGTTTGCTACAATGTGAGTGGCATGGCGGGTTCTCTCCTTAAAGATTAGAACTGGTGAAACCAAAGAATGTAGTTCGTTCGTGCACTTTCTAGTCCTGGGTATGACGATAAACTATACCCGGCACCAAGGCCTCTGATCAGTAGATTGGAGGTTTTGAGGTTCGTGCAATCACCTCTTAATTTACTGTTGTTCCCAGGTCTACTTTGAGCCGATGGGTGCTAGCAACTGTTAAGGTCCCAGCTATGGGATAATAGTGACTCAGCTAACAAAAACAAAGCACAAAGTACAAAGCAAAGTATAGAATATATTTTTATAATAAAATACCAACAATACATTTTTATATTAAAAAAATGACCAATACTTCATATTTATACTAAAATTACCGACAATTATGGCAGAAAAATCAATACATTTTATCAGTAGTTGGAGACATTCAATTGCGTTCAAAATATAATTAATTGACGCCGTATAATTGTGTTCAAAATACTTAGATTTCTGCATTAAATAACCCCATAGAGGTGTTGATATGATATGCCGTTAAACAAGATCAACCAATTAAACGAGCACTTCCTATGGAAGCAACCACAGAGCAGTGAGTGGCTTACAACATCTCGCCATTGACAGGATTTGGGGATAATAATAATTTGTCACCTACTAGGATGCGGAAACGCTTTTGCTTCTTCAGTTGAAAGAGAGATGCTAAATTTGTAATGTCAAATAGGATATGTATAATTTCAAGGCTAACTTTAACTGCTATTAGCCATTAAATTTATGGAGGGCCACTTTTCTTGTTGAATGATTTAAAATATTTTTCCAAGAACTTTCTCATCGGTGTTTTGTCAGGCAGTCTCATTACTTGTCCTAAGAAATCAACACTTCTCCTCTTGATGGGTTCACTCTGAGATTCGTATTTTGTCTTTGTTCGAGATACTGGACATTGAGGGCGAGTCATTTTCTCTGAAAAGTATCAATATTTTTCTAATCTGTACTCGTAATTCCCCAAAGTTTTTGAATTCTTATAGTGCCTTACTAAGCATAGCTTCAACATTATGGATAAAATAATGAACTTTATAGTGTTTTTTTTTTTTATTTCAAGACTTAACATGTGCAAAACAATTTCACGAATTTGAACGAAAAAGATACCCCAGAATGACGTCAAAATCAGCGAAAATGTTTTATGCTTTAATAGTTGTGCTTAGTTTAATTTGTAACTTATATAAATGTCGACAGAAAATGACAAATGTTGATAAGATAGCGAGGTACACAAAACACTTCCTGGGTACCCTAATCAGGCTTGGACGAACTCAGACCGGGAGGGAGTGCTCAGTGGTCCTTGTCCTTGTAACGGCATTCACCCGAGGTGGGTTGAGCCGGCTCCAATATTAGAGTTTCATGGGAATTTGGAATTCACAAGCGGTCCCCAAACCCGCATGTATAGCACATGAGATTTGATTATAGTGGTGAAGGTTTCGTGCAGGACCATCCAAACTTTTTGAAGGGCCGAATACAGAGACCTGGTGCACTAAGTGCCACAAGGACCCCAAACGACCCTACGCAGGTTTTGAATTCAGAGTTTTTCTTCTAGACCAGTTGCCATCCAAGGCTATAGAACCCAGTCTGTCCTGCTATTTACCTATGAATGGAGGGAGAAGAGGATTCACACCTTTCCCAAGCATGTAAGCGAATGTAATGGATTCGACTGGAATTCGAACTCGGCTCTCCGATTCCTCAATCCAAGCCGCTATCTATTACTCCACCGTGCCTACACACTGGCTCTGTTTGGGTAGCAAAGGTGATCAGATTGGGTGTTCATATTTGTTCTTCAACACTGAAAACAGAGGTCTACTCTTTTGCACTAAATTCAAAAGGGTAGACATTAAGTTTATACCCGAGCCTGCAACTATCCAGGCAGAAGGTGGCTTTTTTTTAAGGTCGGGTCTTTTTTGTTTTTAGGCGGGGTCTTTTTTAGGTGGAGATTATTTTCAAGATGTGCAATCAACGTATCAAATTTTTACTCTCTTCTTGATTCTTTTATTATTGTTATAGTTATATTAAAGCTTATATATATATATATATATATATATATATATATATATATATATATATGTATAGTGTATTGGAGTAGCAGATCATTATTTAAACATATATTGTTAAATATAACAGACAATGAATGTCTATTATGTTGCATCATGAGCCGTTCTGGTGTTCGTATATTTGTTTTAATTTCGGATGAAAATAAAGATAAAAATTGTATATTTTTATTAATTTGATCCTTGATATAAGCTTTCGGTTCATATGAATCATCTTCATAGTGAGTATACGGACATTTTAACAAAGATATTCAACATCAAAGATAATATTTTATGTTGAAATAGAAGATTGCTATGCGACAATAACGGTCGCGGAATAGCAGACGCGGTTCGTAAGTTCAAGATGCGGTTCTATGACGTCATACCACGTGAGAGGCCTAATTGTTAACATCGGAACTATATGTTTAGATGCAGTGTAGTGCGTTGTGACTAGTTTAAAATGAAAATTTGTTGAGTATAGGTTGCTTTGCTTTAATGCAGGCAGCCTCCAATATCTGAATGTTCTTTTTATTGTGTGTATGTGTGTTATTCATATATATATATATATATATATATATAGATATATATATATATATATATATATAGATATAATTTCATTAATCTTTTAAAATATCATTAATAGTAGCTTTTAATCAGTTAAACTTGTAATAATACTCTGAATAATCCAGTCACCTATCCTAGATTAGATCGTAGCGTAACCTACGTGCACAGAATGAAACAAAGTCCAAAAATAAATGTTATATATGTTACATATTTCTTTTCAAACTTGTATTTTTTTCCCACTATCCATTTGGTCACAACATTTCTCTCTTAAATCTATTAGTATTTACATTCATAGATAGATAGATAGATAGATAGATAGATAGATAGATAGATAGATAGATAGATTAAATTTCTAGATAGATAGATTAAATTTCTAGATATATAGATAAATGATCAAAAGCTTTAGATAGATAGATAGATAGATAGATAGATAGATAGATAGATAGATAGATAGATAGATAGATAGATAGATTAAAAGTTCTAGATAGATAGATGATTAAAATTTCTAGATAGATAAGATAATGAAATAGATAGATAGATAGATAGATAGATAGATAGATAGATAGATAGATAAACACACGTCAACGCAAAATGTGTAGATACACAAAATTACCTACGACACGAAATTTAGTCATAAAAAATATAACTGCCTTAACACCTAGTTTTATTCGAATTATTTGTTTACGGAAATTTAAACCCAATCTTAACTGGCCTTTAACTATTTGAACTCTTAAACCGTAAGGATTAGACCAGAGCGTAACGTACGTGCACAGGAACAAACGAAGTAAAAATAAATAAATGTTATATATATATATATATATATATATATATATATATAAAGCATATCTCTTCTCAAACTTGCCTTTATATATATATATTTTCTTCAGCTGCTGTTTTTCTTCCTATCCAATTTGCTCCCACCATTTCTCTATTAAATCTATAAGTATTTGCTTTTTTTTTTCGTGCGTCTTTTACTATTCTTAAACAGAAGTAGTCTTCTGTCTTTTCCCAGAGACACAATCATAGACTCCAGGTCTCCTGTGCTTCAGTTCCAGGCACCTCAGTCCAGCTGATTTACTTTTTAAATCCTTTGATCCCCGATCATTATCATATTGACTTTTATTCCATTTTTTTTATCACTTATCATTTCATACTTTTGATAAGAGAATCTAATCTCTTTATGTGTACGTTTCTTCTATCTTCCTCTCTCGCACGATTTACGTATGTCTTAAAAAAAGATCAATGTGAATAAATACATGAATGTATCAACTGAAATAGATAGATAGATAGATAGATAGATAGATAGATAGATAGATAGATAGATAGATAAGAAAGGAATGACAAAGGTCTGTAGAAAATGAGAATAGATAGATAGATAGATAGATAGATAGATAGATAAGAAAGGAATGACAAAGGTTTGTAGAAATAGATAGATAGATAGATAGATAGATAGATAGATAGATAGATAGATAGGAAAGGAATGGCAAAGGTCTGTAGAAAATGAGAATAGATAGATAGATAGATAGATAGATAGATAGATAGATAGATAGATAAGAAAGGAATGACAAAGGTTTGTAGAAAATGAGAATAGATAGATAGATAGATAGATAAGAAAGGAATGACAAAGGTCTGTAGAAAATGAGAATAGATAGATAGATAGATAGATAGATAGATAGATAGATAGATAGATAGATAGATAGATAGTGTTATGGTCCGGTTCCTTGTACCACGGTGATAGTCCAAGGTAGAACCAAATAAAGAAGAACTTGAACACGGATATGGAATAAAACAGATATATTACAAACAGGAATATATACAGAGAAGTAGAAAGTGTTAGTACGAACAATCAGGTTTAGTAGGGAGAACAATGTAGTCTCAACCAGTATCACTATTCCAATGTCTTGCAGTAATTGTCTGAACGCGACTCTGTTTCGGACTGCCTCTGACTCGACTCTTGACTCGACTTGAACTACTGACTACATTTAGTCACCCCCCCCTCACGTGCGCATCATGTGGCACAAGGCCGGTTTAACGTGGGATATCTGAGCCCGTGGGCTCGGCCAAAAATATGCCCATTGCACCCGTATAAACGGGTTCAGGGTCGGTTTACCTCCCCGAAAGAGACTTCGCCCTTCGGCGTAGCCTCTTTCGGGTTTCTCCCCGCCCGAAGGCAGAGAGTTCAACCGAACAGCCGGTCAGGAGGTGAACGACTGACGATATTTAGTCCCCCCCCCACTGGGGCATCATGTGGCACAAGGCCGATTATTTAATGTGGGATCTCCGAGCCCGTGGACTCAGCCCAAAAATATGCCCATTGAACCCGTATAAACGGTTTACCTCCCCGAAAGAGACTCCGCCCTTCGGCGTAGCCCCGTTCGGGTTTCTATACCGATGATATAACGATACACGGGCGCACCCCTAAAACTCTTGACATCAAAGATTGGAAGCTGATCTCTCTTCCGATCTTACACTAACTTCCCAATGGGTAAAAACACTGGCTCTAAAACCAAACTACTCACATTTCATCACCGCCGATCAGATCACAAACTACCGCCAGTCACGATGAACGGATGTCGCCTCTGGGAGGTCCCCGTGCCTTGGGAGGATATTGGGCCTCAAACTCACACCTGACTTCAAATGGAACTCCTATATACGATACATTGATGAAGATGCAGGTAAAATGATCGCTTCCCTATACCGCAACAGTAAGTACCCGAGTCCACAAGCTTTCCTCTAACTTTATAATCGTCAGATCAGCTGTAAATGGAGTACTGTTGTCACATTTGGGCAGGAGCAAATCAGACATCACTCACCTGTCTTGATAGACTTCAAAAGTGTTTCAGAGTCCTTGTGAGAAAAGAATTATTTTCCACGCTCCAATAACTCTCTCTCCCTCTCTCTCTCACTCACTCACTCACTCACTCACACACACACACACACACACACACACACACAGAGGAGGGTTGTGGCAAACCTCTCACTGCTCTATCGGTACTACCATAGAAAGTGCTATGGAAGAACTGCATCTCCTGGTTCCACCATGTCAGATCTTTACAGTTAGGATCCCCCATGCCACTTACATAGTATCAAACCATCCACATTCCCTCCATATTCCATCGATCAACGAGATGTGAGTTACACTTTTTTTTCCCGCAAACTTATTGAAACTTATTGTAAAAAAGATAGATAGATGAGAAAGAAATGACAACGATCTGTAGATATAAAGAAAAAGAAAATAGATAGATAGATAGATAGATAGATAGATAGATAGATAGATAGATAGATAATTAAAAGTTCAAGATAACTTGATAAATAGATAATTAAAAGTTCAAGATAGATAGATAATTAAAAAGTTCAAGATAGATAGATAATTAAAAAGTTCAAGATAGATAGATAGATAATTAAAAGTTCAAGATAGATAATTAAAAGTTCAAGATAGATAGATAGATAGATAGATCACAAAATTTATAGGTACCCGAAAATACTTAAGCATACCTACGACGTGGAATCAAAGAATTTCGGGTAATTTCGTCATAAAAGTGTGAACTTTGTATATGGTGAAACTTATTGTAAAAAAGATAGATGAGAAAGAAATGACAACGATCTGTAGATATAAAGAAAAAGAAAATACATAGATAGATAGATAGATAGATAGATAGATAGATAGATATGAACAGACTGAGATAGATAGATAGATAGATAGATAGATAGATAGATAGATAGATAGATAGATAGATAGATAGATATGAACAGACTGAGATAGATAGATATGAACAGACTGGGATAGATAGATAGATAGATAGATAGATAGATAGATAGATAGATAGATAGATAGATAGATAGATATGAACAGACTGAGATAGATAGATAGATAGATAGATAGATAGATAGATAGATAGATATGAACAGACTGAGATAGATAGATAGATAGATAGATAGATAGATAGATAGATATGAACAGACTGGGATAGATAGATAGATAGATAGATAGATAGATAGATAGATAGATAGATAGATAGATAGATAGATATGAACAGACTGAGATAGATAGATAGATAGATAGATAGATAGATAGATAGATATGAACAGACTGATAGATAGATAGATAGATAGATAGATAGATAGATAGATAGATATGAACAGACTGAGATAGATAGATAGATAGATAGATAGATAGATAGATAGATAGATAGATAGATAGATATGAACAGACTGAGATAGATAGATAGATAGATAGATAGATAGATAGATAGATAGATAGATAGATTGGAACAGTATGAGATAGATAGATAGATAGATAGATAGATAGATAGATAGATAGATAATTAAAAGTTCAAGATACCTTGATAGATAAATAGATAATTAAAAGTTCAAGATAACTTGATAAATAGATAATTAAAAGTTCAAGATAGATAGGTAATTAAAAGTTCTAGATAGATAGATAGGTAATTAAAAGTTCAAGATAGATAATTAAAAGTTTAAGATACATAGATAATTAAAAGTTCAAGATACATAGATAATTAAAAGTTCAAGATAGATAAATAATTAAAAGTTCAAGATAGATAGGTAATTAAAAGTTCAAGATAGATAATTAAAAGTTCAAGATAGATAGATAGATAGATAGATAGATAGATAGATAGATAGATAGATAAATCACAAAATTTATAGGTACCCGAAAATACTCAAGCATACCTACGACGTGGAATCAAAGAATTTCGGGGAATTTCGTCATAAAAGAGTGAACTGCTTTATCACTTAGTTTCATTTGAATTACTTATTTACGGAAATTTAAACACCATTTTAACTGACCTTTATCTATTTACATTGTTCGGACTGTTGTCTTCATCTTTATTGCAATATTCACGGCGTTTCCGCCGTTGTACGCTCCGGCCTTCTTCAAGTGATTGGAATTTCGAACTTTATTTCGTCCCCCGGCGTAGATTGTTCTATTGGAACAATTTTTTTTTCTACCAGAACAGTCTACCCCGGTGGTTGAAGCCGGAGCGTTCAACGGCCGAAACGTCGTGAATATGACAATAAAGATGAAAACAATCCGAACAATGTAAATAATGTAAATAATTACAATACTTCATCTCAGATATATAGATAGATATTGACCTTTAACTATTTGAAATGTTTAAATATACTTTGAACACATGATATCTACATTTTTTTTAAAGATAACACCAATAGAAATCAAATTAGCTGCCAATGTAATCTTTAACTTGCATAAAATGATACCCCGAATCAGAAAATTAGGCGAGATATTTTTTGTTTCGAATGTTCTTACTTACTGTTTTTTAATAAAATATACCTTCGACTTTTAGCTTGTGAAAGAATAAATCACTGATAATTTATTTTCAAAGATGTATTTATTACTAAATGTTTATTTAATGTTTTGAATTATCTGTTGAATTATCCATTCTTCTGTCCATTTCTGAATTGTTGTTCTTCGGCAATTGTTTTAATAATTGATAAATATAACGTTTAACAAAGGCATTTCAAAATGTGTTTACTGCCACAATTAATCAATGAAATGGACCCCTATTTTAATATTTTCCTTTCACGCATGCGCAGCATGAAACAGATTATCAACGATGAGTGTTGACCTTAGTGTTCACTTTTTTATTTACATACGTTCCAACTCTGATATTGAGCATTTTACCCATAAATATAGCATTCCTTAAAACTATTTTTTAATATATATATATATATATATATATATATATATATATATATATATATATATATTATAAAGAGATAATCATACATTGCATCAATTAGCAATATTGCTAATTGATTTAATGTATGACTATCTCTTTATAATATAATTATCATATATTTATAATATATTATATTATCTCTTTATAATATAAAATATATGCTACCTAATATATATATATATATATATATATATATATGTATAGTGTATTGGGACATCAGATCATTATTTAAACATATATTGTTAAATATAACAGACAATGAATGTCTATTATGTTTGATCATGAGCCGTTCTAAAATTCGTATATTTGCTTTAATTTCGGGTGGAAATAAAGACAAAAATTACATAGCATCTAGACATATGGTTCTGTTGTTAATATTTCAGTCTCTCGCGTGGTACGACGTCATAGAAATGCAGCATGGATTTACGACTTGCGTCTGCTATTCCGCGACCGTTATCGTCACATAGCAATCTTCTCTGTCAACATAACAGAATATCATCTTTGATGGTGAATCTATTTGTTTAAATGTCCGTAAAACCACTCTGAAGATGGCTCATGTGAGTCGAAAGCTTAGATCATGGAATAGCTTAATAAAAAAATATCCAAATGTTGGACAATTTTGCTCTATCAAAGTACTGTTTCAAGCGATATTTGGAACCAAAAATCGCTTGAAAATGAAACCTCACTAAGGATTTTAATTTAATTCTAAAATTAAATTTAGAGTTTTTAGTTTCTGTTTTTGAAACATGGTAATTCCTGTGTAGCGATGGAACCATATTTTTAAATTAGTAAATTTATAATATTTATGCTCTGCAGAATTGTATTGAGCACTGTTTTTTTAAAAATAAAAATAATTAATAAGAACACCGGATTATAAATCTTACTTTTCTCATTATTTCAATATATATATATATATATATGTGTGTGTGTGTGTGTGTGTGTGTGTATTCATTCTGACAATGTACTTGTTACTAATTTACAAGCCGTCCTACTGGACGGCATTTAATCTAGCTCCTGCGGAGGGCTCTTTGTTGGGTCTTCATCACAATAGGTAGGGAGGAGTAGATGCGAGAGTCAACAATAAACTACAGAAGAGCTCAAAATTGGTCGCTGCATTTAAGTATTACATTAATATTTAAGCTTACGTTTTAAAAGTTCAACGATAATTCTTCTGCTGCCACTTAATTTAAAGACAATTTGATGTACGTAGATCCTTACTTTCCATACAAAAATTTTTTTTTTTTTCACGGGTGGCTTTCGTTGGATTTCGCAATTAATTTCGATTATTCCCAAATTTATTTCCAAGTTATAAAAATTGTTATCGTACAAAAAATTGTCGCAAAAATAACGTAAAAATCGCCGAAAACAATTGCAGTAATGAAAACTTGCGAATCCAAAATTTCAGGATTACGGGTCCGGATCCAACCGGGAATTTTTTTTAATTTGCTCACGCAGTCAGTATGATTCCAAAATGGTATGACATGTTTGGCTACGGCCTCTAAGAGCAAAGTTGAAAACACTGTAATTTGAGAACGGTAATTTTTCATTTGCACATGAGCTATTGAAAAAGAATTGTGTCTTTTTAAATGTTTTTATCGGTAAAAACTAATATGGCGGAATCCGAAAACAATTGCAGCAATGAAAACTTGGGAACCTAAAATTTCAGGATTGCGGGTCCGCATCCGGCCCGGAACGTTTTTCATTTGCTCACGGATTCGGACTAATTCCAAAATGATATGATATGTTGGGCTCCAGCCTCAATGAGTAAAGTTGAAAAAGTGTGACGCAGTGAAACACTAATATTTGCATTTATTATATAGATGACAATTGCCTTGACGTGTTTACGAAGCCGGAAAGTGAAAGGCCAGACTCCGTGAAAGAGCAGAGCACAATAATAATAATTGGGAAAAATATGTTTAAAGATTCACATAATGAAATCTAATGATCATAAGGACCTAACAGAATATATTGTCATTTTGAAGGCATGTTTACAGCAATCTTATAAATAATTACTTTAGACAGTAAATTTTCAGGACTACATTCAGTTAATAAATACATATCTCTGTTGCAGACTTTATTGATCCACTTACTCTGAGCTTAAAAATGACAGCTCTGAAGGAAAACTTTTTAAAAAAAATGATTGTTTAATAAATTACTACGACAGGTTTTGATTTCTTCGATTTCGTTATTTTTTATCTTTTCTTATGTATTTTTGTATATTCTCATTTTTTTTTTTTATTTCTATCCGTTTTATTATTTATGGCGGCATTTTGCTGTAGGGATTCATCTCGAAATGTTTGTCTGTTGTTTGCTTCTTTGAGTTTTCCCGCTTATACCTTTCTCCTGTCTCTCCGTTTCTCATTTTCATTTTCACCCCCTATTTCAACATTTATTTTTCTTCCTTGTTTTTTTTTTTATCTCCTTGATTTCTCTTACTCGCATTTTTCAATTTTTCCTTTCTTTCTTTTTTTTCTTTCTTTCTTTCATTTATTTTCTTTTGTTTTTATCTTTTCGTCTTCCTTCCTCTTTTTCTTTGTTCATTGTTCGCTTCCTTCCACCCCTCTCCCCATTTACTTTGTTTTTCTCTTTCACTCTCTTTCTCCTCTATTTCTAACCTTCTTTTTCTTTCTTTCCTTACTTTCTTTATGTCTTACTTTTGCTTCTCTTTCCCTCTTACTTTTCTCTCTTATTTTTCCTTCTCTTTTTATTTCTGCTTTTTTCTTCCTATTTTCATTCCTTCTTCATAACATTTTTTTCTCTTTTTTTCTTCCTGTTAAACCTTTTTCCTCTCATTTAAATGACGTTTTCTGCCTTCCCCTCTTTTTTTTCTCTTTTTCCTTTTATTTCTTCTATTCTCTTTCCCTCCTTTTTTTTTCTTTCTTTCTTTCTCTCCTTCCTATCTCTTACCTGATCCCTTTTCTTCGTTTCCACTCTTTCTTATCCATTACTTTACCTGTCTCTTCATTTCTCCTGCTTTCTTATGTCTTGCTTTTCTTCTGTCTTTGAATTATTTCCTGTTATTCGTATGTCCTCCACCTTTCTTTTATTCACATACACCATTTTTATCTATCTATCTATCTATCTATCTATCTATCTATATATATATATATATATATATATATATATATATAGCCCGCTCCCACTATTTCTATATACTTTTCTGTCACTCCGTCTCCATCTATCTCTGTATATCTTTTTTTTTAACTTGTGGCTTTGTACTGGTTGCAATCTCGCAATTTCTGTCTTTTTTCTCTCTCTACCTATTTATCTCTTTCCATACTTTGTGACTCTCTCCCCCCCTCTCTCTCTCTCTCTCTCTCTCGATATATATATATATATATATATATATATATATATATATATATGCGACTTCGTATCTCTTGCAACTTCCCCTTTCTTTGTTCTTCCAATTTCAGTCTTCCCTCTATCTCTCTCTCATATATATATATATATATATATATATATATATATAGTTAGAATGATGTGAGTTGGAGACCCTGGATTTCACGCTATTTACGATCGTCAGATAAACTGATTAATTTTAAAGTTAAATATGTTAGCTCTATCACTGATATTGAGCGTTTTTCCAATAAGTACCACGTATATACAATATATAAATAATATATATAAAAAATTGCATATATACATATATATATATATATATGTATATATATATATATATATATATATATATATATATATATATATATATATAAACACACACACATAAAATGTGTGTGTGTGTGTGTGTAGCTAAATAGCTATTTCTTTACATACTTTGTCTCTTTGTACCTTTCACAACATCTCTCACTTTCTTCTTTTTTTCTTTCATTCCCCTTTCTATCTATCTCTCCATATATATATATATATATATATATATATATATATGTGTGTGTGTGTGTCTGTCTAGGTAAGTATCTCTTTTAATACTTTGCGTCTTTGTAACTCTTGCAACTTCTCACTCACTTTCTTTGTTCTTTTATTTTCTCTCTCTCTCTCGCGCGCTCTCCCTTTCTCTCTCCTTCTTTCTCTCTCTCTCTATATATATATATCTATCTATATATATATATATATATATATATATATATATATATATATATCGTTATAGATATAGATATCTCTTTTCATACTTTGCCCCATTGTACCTTTTGCAACATCTCTTATTTTCTTCTTTCTATCTCTCTCTCTCTCTTTCTCTTTTTATTCCTTTATTTCTTTTTTTCTTCTTCTCCTTTTACTTGTTTTTTCTTCTTTTCTTTTCTCGTTTCACGTTTGCTTCCATTAACCGTTCCAATAAATTCTCCTAAATCCTTTCAAATCCTCTTTCTAAATCCCAATCGCTCTGTTTCTTGCTTTATTTCCCAAGAAAACAAAAGTTCACCACCAAACTTTCTTTCTTTTACCGGATCAGGTCACATGATGCCACCACAATAGACGCCAATCTATTATTAAATCTGTTAAGAAGAAACATTTTTCTCAGGGCGATTAACTTCACTTCCAATATGCAAAACTTTTGCTCACATTGATTTTTGTGGAGCGCGGCATATCATAAGTTCTTTTATTTTCCCATCTTTCAGAAAGGCTCATAAAATGCACGACAAAAAATCTTCTTTAGTCATTGCACTGAGTCTTTTTAAAGATCATTATTTATCGCACGGGTCGCTTTCAAAGTGTATGGTTATCGTTATTCTTATTGTTAATATCATTATCAGGTCTTCTTTTATGTATCACGGCTCTCCACACTCTTCGTAGTTTCGTAACAGTGTTTGCCTCCATACTCTCCCTCCCAATCCCTTTAGCTCGTTAATTAGGTTTATCATGACTCTCCACAGCTTCCCATGATTTGTAGATCAAATACATGTTTGTACACTTACTATCTCCCCCAGTTCATGTTCTTCCAACCATTTACATAAGTTCGTTAGGTAGGCTGATCATGGCTCTCTACGACTTCCTATCCTTTTGCAGGCCTAAAGAATATTTTTGTCCTCACTATCTCTCCCAGTCATTGTTTTACGAACCATTTACACAAGCTCCTTCAGTTGATCATGACTCTCCACAACTTCCCATGATTTGTAGATCTAAGCCATGTTAGTCCCCTTATCATCCCTCCCAGTCCATGTTCTGCCAACCATTTACACAAGAACGTTAGGTAGGATGATCATGGCTCTCCACAACTTCCTGTCTGTTGTAGCTCTAAGCCATGTTTTTTCCCTTATTATACCTCTTAGTCCATGTTCTGCCAACCATTTACACAAGCACTTTAGGTAGGGGGATCACGACTCTCCACAACTTCTTATCCGCTTTAGCTCTAAGCCATGTTTGTTCCCCTACTATCCCCCCCAGTCTATATTCTGTCAACCATTTACACAAGCACATTAGCTAAGTTACTCGATGATTTCTTCTGTTCCTCTTGCCTTAATTCCATCCTGTGTGTGTCGGATTTTCTAAACATTCTTATTATGTCTCCTAGAAATTTCATTTTTTTCTGATTCTATGTACGAATGTATTTTTCTTACCATTATCGTTAACGCTTCCTCCTTGATCACGTGTTCTGCCTATTTTATTCTCAGCATCCTTCTGTAGAACCACATCTCTACTGCCTTCAGTTTCCTCCTCATCTATGGGAAAATCGTCCAGCATTCACTGCTATATAGGAGGATCTATATTACAAAGCAGTTCATCATCTCAGATTGTTTCTAACAAAACTTTACTGATTCTTAATACATTCATTGTTAAACTGTTGGCGTAATGGATAACGTTTCGGAATGAGAAATCGGAGATCCGAGTTCGAATTCTAGTCGGATTCGTTACATTCACTTATGCGTGAATACCTTTGGGAAAGGTGTGAATCCATCTCTTCTCCCCCCCCCCATAACCTTGAATAACTTTGGGTGGCAACCAGTCTATCGCAGTTCTGCCTAGTTAGTCATAAATCGAAAGAGACATGATCGTCCATGCGTGTATCACGTTTGGCAGTTAAATGACTGAAGTTTTTAAAAGCCATCTCTCGCTATTCCAATGTGCGTTCGGATTTCTATACTCTGTTTTCCTATTCAAAAAGATGGTATTAAGGAAAGCCAAAAAACGCCGAGTTTTCTCAACAATTCTAAACCATAGTACAGTAAACGTGGAGTAATAGAAAGCGGCTCAGATTGAGGAATCAGAGAGCCGAGTTCGAATTCCAGTTGAATCCATTACATTCACTTACGTAATAATACCCCCGTGAAAGGTATGAATTCGCTTCTTCTCCCCACCAGCTATGGGTAAATAGCAGGATAGACCGGGTTCTATAGCCTTGGAAGGCAACTGGTCTACCGCAGAAAGAAATGGCAACCTACAGCGGGAAAAAAAATCTGCCTCGTCAGTCATGTATCGAAAGATACATGATCGCCTCAGCGTGTATCTTGCATGACACATAACTGACTGAATCTATGACCCAAGGGTGACTCAATGTAAAATTTTACTGAATGAAGTTGTTCTTTGGAAAGTAAGAAGAAGCAGTAAGTTCAGATTATGAAGATATATACGATAGATAACTATTAACCCAAGACTTGAAGAAGATTCTACATTTTAGTGGTCGGGGAAGCATTCTCTCGTGAATCTGTTCCAAAAGTAGCGATTCTCGGGGAAAAGCTATCTGAGTGTAACTTCCTTGTTACCAGTGGAATTGCGAAAGAAATGAATAAGATTCGACCCTTTGCACGTGACATGGTAGGTACTAGCTGTAATAGTTTAATTTGGTGGAACTAAGAAATCTAGCTCTTTGATCATTTGCCATGGAAATAGCGATAGATTAGTGATAGGCTTGCGTTTTTTCGTCTCAGGCAAAGTAAATATATGGTGGACAATAATTAATCGCCCACCAGGCCGTGTAAACGCTTTTGAACTTTGTCAAGACTGGAAAATGAGGATTGGGTAGATCCAGCCCAGATATGACAGCAATGCTCTATTTTACTGAGTACTGTAAACAAGTGGATTATGGAAGCAACAAGGTAGGAAAATTGTGTTACGCAAAACTTCCAAAAGTTAGTATTTGAAATCCTGACATTAACCGGAACTTAAACAAGAATCAAGAAACAGATCTTCAGCATCTTGGTTAAAAATCCTGCCACTTGCAATATGAAAAGTTATTTTTACAGGAAAGCAGCAAATATCCTATATAACAACCTTGTGTAAGCTAGATACCTACGCTAATTCGGTATATGTAAGATTTAAAATGAATTTTTGAAACTGAAAAAGCTCTTTTCAAGCTTTCATTTTAGCTTTACTTGAAAACTAAAGAATTTAAAATTTACTATTTCGAGTCAGCAAAATACTCTGTGGTGTATTTCAAACAGAAATTGTATTGATCGGAATCGATTTTTTTTTCAGTAAAATCAATCAAAACGGCCATTTTTGAAACCTTTGTAAACAAAAATTAATTCTGGGTTTTAAAAATCTTGCAAAAATAAAATATATATTTCTGAAACGTTATTTGAAGAAAATTAGCAAATCTTATTTTTTGCATATGTTGTATACAAACATTTCTTAACTAAAGGGTGTTGTTTTTCTGACGTGTTAATTGATTTATTGACAGCCGAACGTGTTAATAGTTAAGTATGGTGGAGTAGACGATAAAGTTCATAAGGGGGGGATAATCTTAAAACACATGACCTAATCGATTTATTTACATTCGATTGACAAGCGAATGTGTACTTAGTTAAGTATGGTGAAGCAGACGGAAGCATTTTTTTTTCGCCATAAAGGGGGCCAAATCTTAAAATATATATATGCATAAAATATTAAAATATCGCACATTGAGTGCTAGTGTTAATAAAATACTGCTAAAATGTACAGAGCTATTAAGCATATATTAATAAATAACATAAATTATCCCTCACCAGTAGCACGACTCGGGTTTTCATGCACAGCTCAATCTTCAGGTGTTGAGTAGAGAATGGCCGTTACATAATTTAAATTTTAATAAAAATATCTGGCTAATGCAAAACTGTAGCATTCTATATATTTAAAAATACATATATATGCATTTTACCGGTGAAGGATTATATATATATATATATATATATATAATTATTTATTTAAAAATATGATTCCATCGCTACATAAGAGTTCTCATGTTTCAAAACAAGAGCCGAAAACTTCAATATAATTATTAAAATTAAATTGAATTAAAGTACTAAGCTCTGTTCCATCTTCAAGCGAAATTTTTTTTATATAAGAGTTCTCATGTTTCAAAACAGGAGCCGAAAACTTCAATATAATTATTAAAATTAAATTGAATTAAGGTACTAAGCTCTGTTCCATCTTAAAGCGAAATTTTTTTTATATTTAAGCTCTACTTTTGTATCGAGCACTGTTTTTGAAAAATGATAACAAAAATACTAATGAACTTTGGATTATTTACCTAACGAGTTCTTTCCTACTTTCTGTATATTTTCACACACACACACACAAACAAACATATATATATATATATATATATATATATATATATATACTATTTACATTATTCGGACTAATGTCCTTATCTTTGTTACCGTATTTATCACAACGTTTCGGCCGTTGTACACTCCGGCCTTCTTCTGGTGGTTGCATTTTCGAACTGAACCCTTTATTTTGCTCGCTTGGGTAAACTGTTCTAGTTTTACGTGCCATGTCTAATGGATGTCAGTTATCAGTTATCTCCTGTTAATTCACCTCTCCAAGTTCTCCACTTCCTTAACCAGGTATTGAACTCACAACTCTTTGGGTCCTGTCACTGGATCTAACCAACGCCTGTATCCATTGTTCTATATGCCCTTAAGGCCCATAACTCTACTAAACACAGAGTTTAAGATTATGGCCAAAATCATGTCGGAGCGTTTACAGTCAGTTGCTGAGATTCTGTTGGAACCCGAGCAGACTTGTTGTGTGATGGGCGGAACAATTCAGAGCAACCTGCATCTGGACCGCACGATTCTAGAGGGTTAAAAGACGACGAGCAAGCCGCGCTGATTAATTTGGATCAGTCCAAGGCATTTGATTGGGTCGACCATCGGTATCTGGCTGCTGTGTTGCAAGCCACCAGATTCGAACCCAACTTCTGCCGGTGAATTAGCTTCCTGTGTCGCTCCCCCGGTGCTGTGGTGCAGGTAAACGAAAAGAGGACGCGTGCTTTTGCGCTGTCTCGGTCGGTTTGTCAGAGTTGCCCACTGTCCCGCCTACTTTACCCTTTGGCGTTGGAGCCCCTCCTTCATCGGCTAAGGGACAAAGGATTCTGTCCGGACCTACGTGAACTCGTTGTCTCTGGTGTGGCTCGAGCCATGGTTTCTGCGTACGTCGACGACATTCACTTTCGTGTCGTCTCGCGGCGATATTAAGATGGTGCTGAAGGCACTTGAACAGTACGAAAGGGTCACAGAGACCAAGATTAACTGCGGCGTATGGTTCGAGCCCGGATAAAAATTGGTCAGAAGTACAGTTAAAAGTCGGCGAGTCGGTCGAGATTTGGCACCGAAAGCGGTTGTCCTTAAATGGTAGGGCTGCGGCGTGTGTCACTTACGTCCGTGTCTGGGGGGGGAGAGGTTTCTTGGAAGTCCACACTTGGCGATTCACTGACACGTCTCGTGGTTGGCTTTCGTATGTCGCGCGTTGACAGAGGATTCAATCTTGAAGGTTTAGTCGCTTAGTCGGATTATCTCAGCAACCATGAGTTTTCACTTACCACGTGATTGGTTAGGAATCGGCTATCTCTCAATGACGTAGCATTCAAACAGGGCTTCGTGGATTTGCCAGACTGTCAACGATGTGACCTTGGCTTAGAGCAGACGTGTGCAATGCAGGAGGTTTTGAGGAGAGTGGAACCACCTCTTAATTGCTGGTGTTCCCAGGCCCACTCTGACCCAGGGTGGTAGCACCTGCTAGGGTCCTAGCTATGGGCAAATAGTTAACCCACAAACTGGGGTCAAAACGCTATTAAAGTGTAAAAAAATATTTACCAGCAATACATTTAAAAAAAAAAGAAAAGAAAAAACATTACCAGCTATGCATTTTTTCAAAAAAAAAATTACCAACGGAGGAAAATTCTTACCAGAAATAGATTTTTGGAAAAAATGATTACCAACAATGAAGATTTTGTCGGCATTGAGGTTGATATGCCGTAAAACAAACGAAACCAAACCAAACCAAGGTCTTATTTATATACTTGTTCAGAAAAGGATTATGCCCACAAAGAGTAGAGGAAAAGTGCGTAATACAGTCGATTTACACCTGGTCAACAAATACACAAACGCAAAAAAACACAGATAGATAGATAGATAGATAAAATATGGACATAGAAATCAACACTGCATCTAGTTCAGATTTCTATTAAAATAAAATCATTTTTTTTACTTTATAACTGAATGCATGGATTGTTTTATGTATGTACTAGCAGCATGGCCCGGCGTTGCCCGTGCTTGATTCAAAAATCTTACGACTCATACAGCAATCACTATCACTTGACTTAAAATATTTTTTGCCCTTCCTTGCTTTTAATGGAGTGCCCTTTGCCGTGCTGATGTTGCTACATGCCTTACTTCTTGCCTATCTCACACTGCCAATTTTTTCTAAACTCTATACTAAACATTAAATCTGTTACGAAAAAAGAACTAAACAAAATGAACACAAAACGATCAGCTTTTAAAAAAGACACTTAACTGGAAAAACCGAATTAAAAAAGAATGTTAACAACAAATACTTTTTCACACCCAACCCAGTTCTGCGGAATCAGAATCAACGTTGAGTTTAAGTAAGCGAATTAGCCAATTGGAGTAAAGTGCCATGCAGATTTAAATTTTTCCCACTTGTGACGAATGCAGCTATCGATTTCTTTTTCATGCTAGCATGCTAGTTGACATTCGTGTCAGTCTGCTGTTGGCTCTCACGCTGGCCAATAGAATCTTCCTGCCTATTCGTGGCAACCAGCTATAGGCTCTCACTCTGGCCAGTAAAAATGGTCGCAAACTACATGAAAACTGTCTTAGAAGCATGAAAAAATCGATTATTTCCAATATCGATGGGAGTTGGGAAATGCAAAGTAAGTCTTGGCCTTCCCGCTAACTTGGAGAATGTGCATGTAAATTTTGGTGCAAATCCGTCGAAAATTGCAGCCGTGCATTCGTTACACGCACACACACATCCTGCCTTTTATAGATAGAGATCTAGACTTATAGGAATAATTTATTTTCCAAACACCGTCAGCACATTTTGGCCGTGTTACAAGCTGATATTATTGAGTGTTGGCTTTTCCTTTTCTATTAATAATGCTTCTCTTATTTTTTTTATCCTTTTTAAAAAGAAAATCAGTTAAAAAAAAAAATAATAACATCCTTGATAATAAAAGTATATATGAAAACCTTGGAATATAGAGAATATTCGTACAGTTTTTACATAATTTATATATATATATATATATATATGTATATATATATATATATATATATCGCACATATCACTACACATTGTGCAAGAAACTCAGTCGTGCTTTCGAAGAGGGATAATATTTATATTTATCAATATACACATATATATATATATATATATATATATATATATATATATATATATATATATATAACGACTCCGTCGTATTCGACGTATGAGGTTTCAAGTAGTTAATTTTCAAGGAACGACAGCCCTGACATGAACACATGTGATTTGATTATAGTGGTGAATTTTTTGTGAAAAACCATCCACACTTTTTGAAGGGCCGAATACAGAGACCTGGTGCACTAAACTGTCTCTGCAGAAACGACCCACTGCAGGTTTTGAAATCAAAGTTGTCCTTCTCCAAGAACCCAGTGTGTCCTGAAGGGAGAAAAAGAGTATTCATACCTTGCCAAGTAAGTGAATGTAATGGATTCGTCTTGAATTCGAACTCGGATATCCGACTCCTCAGTCCAAGTCATTATCCATTACTTTCTCTCTCTTTATTTATATATATATATATATATATATATATATATATATATATATATATATATATATATATATATATATATATATATATATATATATATATATATATATATATAAGTTTGAAAACGGTACAAAAGCGTATTAAGGCATTAAAAACTAGAAATGTAGTATTGTAGGCCATGATAAGTTTAAAAATAAAACACAACAGTCGACCGGTTTCGTCCCCTCTCGTCAGAACTGTTAACGGGGAATTTAGATTATGAGGAAAAGAAAAGTCTGTCATGGGTGACATGAATGAATGGAGAGGAAGGAAAAAAAAAAAAAAAAAAAAATATATATAAAATTATACCAACCAAGCTGCTAGAATCGCATCAGCAAGTCCAGCAAACAATCTCTCTGTTTGCAAAGAGCAGGCTGCCTAGACCTGATGTAAAGCGACTCCAGCACCTTAAGATGGAAAAAGTGAGTGCGAACTGGCCAAGACGGAAAACCAGTCCACACTGAAATCCATCGCACAAGTTGATTCTTTATAAAATGATCCGCAATGGAAGACCCATACGTGTTACGAATGGTATCGCCCAAACAAAATTTTTTGTTTAGTATTATCGCAGGTACGTGTTGTTTAATTCTCACGTCCAACCGCTGTGTCGTTCTACCTATGTAGTCGCATCCACAACTACATTTGACTACATTATATATATATATATATATATATATATATATATATATCAACTACATTTGACTACATTATATATATATATATATATATATATATATATATATATATATATATATAGTTGTATGGATATGATTTTGTAAACGTGCTTCACGCTTTTGCGATCATCATGAATACATTAGCTCTATCCCTGATATTGATCACTTTTCAAAATTACCGTGCATATATTATATATATATATATATATATATATATATATATATATATATATATATACAAGTATATGATTGTGTATACGGAATAAATTCCAATAACCAACAATTTATATATATATATATATATATATATATATATATATATATATAAGTATATGATTGGTGTATACGGAATAAATTCCAGTAACCGGAGGTGTTGAAACAAAATGGCTATTTTTGTAGTGATTTTTATAACATATTTATGTTATAATTTTTAAATAAATAATTATATATATATATAAATTCACAATTTCAGTTCGTGCCTGATCAATGTTTTCTAATTCTGAATTCCAAGGTAAGAATTTCTCACGAGTTGGCTCAACATAATCTGAATCTGTTTGGAACTAGTATTGTCCTAAAATTGCAAAATACGTGATTTTCAAGTGGAATATTTATCTATTATTTCTTTTAATTTTATTTTTTTTTATTAATCCTCCACGCCTTTCCAAGCTTTCTCTGTCTCAAGCTCATTTTCTATATAGTATATCGGCACTTTTTTACTCCTTTCTCTCTATCACGCATTTTTATCTATCTATCGCTCTCAATCATTTACCCTCTCCCTCCCTCTCTCTCTCTCTCTCTCTCTCTCTCTCTCTCTCTCTCTCTCTTTGTATCTTTTTGTTGTTATTTTCTGCCTTTTCTTCTTTTGAATTCTCTTTTTTTCCCTCGTCTCCTTTTTCTCTCCAACCCTCTTCGTTTTCTTTCTTGCACTATTTCATCTTTTGTTTAACACCCACCCACCCCGGTCCGGTCTCTTACCAGCAATATTGTCCCCCTTTTTGCTTCATGTCTATCTTTATCGAATTCCCATTTCGCCGATTTAAATCCTCTAAGGAGTATGTCTTCTTAAGACAGATGGTCCTCACAAACTGTGGCTCACCTCTCCTGGGAGAGAATATTTGGACTCACTTCGTACTTTTCAGCTTGACCGTTGGTAAGAGAAAAACATTAGCCGGGGATTGTGCCGAAACATAAAATGAAGATTAACTTTGCTACCATTTTGATTACAGGCCATCAAAGCGATCACCGGATGTGACGCGTGTACCCTTCTTTTCATTGATTCTACAAGCTAGCATTACTCTAACTGAAGCTATCAAGCCAGCCACTACACAAGGTTTCGGTTCTGTATCAATAACATCACTTTTAGTTGTGTATTTTTTTTTTTCTTGAATATAAGGCAGATTAGAAATTTATTATTTCCGAACAAGTCAGGTTTCAATTATGCATTTTTATGAATAGTAAATATTGCAACAAGAGGGTGAGGGTTAAAAGTCAAAGGACAGAAACAACAATGAACTCGCGTATTTCGTGTTTGTCCCTGAAAAGAGTCAGATAGATAACAACAACGATAACGATAAACACAGAAAGAGAGAGAGAGAGTGAGAGAGAGAGAGAGTGAGAGAGAAAGCGAGAAAGAGAGAAACGGGAAGAAAGAAAGAGTAAGGTAAAAATACAGAAGTAGGAAAGGCTACAGAGAAGGCAAGGAATGAGTCGAAAGGGAAGAAAAGATGTAAATGAGGAAGGATATGAAAGAGAGAAGAAGAAGAAGAAGAAGAAGAAGAAGAAGAAGAAGAAGAAGAAGAAGAAAGACGTGTCAATGAGGGACGTTATGAAAGAGAGAAGACGAAAAAGAAGTGTCAAGAGGAATGATATAAAATAGAGAAGATAGTGTCAATGAAGAGCGATATGAAAGAGAGAAGAGAAAAAGAAAGAGAAATGTCAATTAAATATAATATGAAAAAGAGAAGAAGAAGAGGGAGGAGAAATTTCAGTCAATGAAAGACGTTATGAAAGAGAGAAGAAAAAGGGTCAACGAGGAACGTTATGAAAGAGAGAAGAAGACAAAAAAGAAGGAGAAAAAAAGATGAAAAAGAAGTTGTGTCAATGAAGAACGTTATGAAAGAGATAATGATCATGAGGATGATGATAATGATGATGAACAAGAAGAAGAAAAGAAGTAGAAAAAGAAGAAGAAAAAGAAGATGTAAAAGAAGTTGTGTCCATGAGGAATGTTGTGAAAGAGAGAAGAAGAAAAAGAAAAAAAGGCGTATCAATGAGGAACGTTATGAAAGAGAGAAGATGATGAAAAAGAAGAAAAAAGGTTTATGTCAATAGGGAACATTATGAAAGAGAGAAGGACAAGAAGAAGAAGCAAAGAACAAGAAGAAGAAGATAAAGAACAAGAAAAAAAGAACAAGAAGATAAAGAAGTCGTATCAATGAGGAACGTTATGAAAGAGAGAAGAAGAAAAAAGAAGAAAAAGGAGTTGTGCGAATGAGGGACGTTATGAAAGGAAAAGAAGAAAAGAAAAAGAATTGTCAATGAGGAAGGTTATAAAGAAAGAAGAAGAAGAAATAAAAAGAAGTTGTGTCAATGAGGAACGTTATGAAAGAGAAGAAGAATAAGAATAAGAAGAAGAAAGAAAAAAGAAAGAAAGAAAGAAAGAAAGAATAAAAAAAAAGAAGTTGTGTGAATGAGGAACGTTATGACAGGAAAAGAAGAAAAGAAAAAGAATTGTCAATGAGGAAGGTTATAAAGAAAGAAGAAGAAGAAATAAAAAAGAAGTTGTGTGAATGAGGAACGTTATGAAAAAGAAGAAGAAGAAGAAGAAGAAGAAGAAGAAGAAGAAGAAAAAAAAAAAGAAAGAAAGAAAGAAAGAATAAAGAAGAAAAAGAAGTTGTGTGAATGAGGAACGTTATGACAGGAAAAGAAGAAAAGAAAAAGAATTGTCAATGAGGAAAGTTATAAAGAAAGAAGAAGAAGAAATAAAAAGAAGTTGTGTCAATGAGGAACGTTATGAAAGAGAAGAAGAAGAATAAGAAGAAGAAAGAAAGAAAGAAAGAAAGAAAGAAAGAAAGAATAAAGAAGAAAAAAGAAGTTGTGTGAATGAGGAACGTTATGACAGGAAAAGAAGAAAAGAAAAGAATTGTCAATGAGGAAGGTTATAAAAGAAAGAAGAAGAAGAAATAAAAAAGAAGTTGTGTCAATGAGGAACGTTATGAAAGAGAAGAAGAAGAAGAAGAAGAAGAAGAAGAAGAAGAAAAAAAGAAAGAAAGAAAGAAAGAATAAAGAAGAAAAAGAAGTTGTGTGAATGAGGAACGTTATGACAGGAAAAGAAGAAAAGAAAAAGAATTGTCAATGAGGAAAGTTATAAAGAAAGAAGAAGAAGAAATAAAAAGAAGTTGTGTCAATGAGGAACGTTATGAAAGAGAAGAAGAAGAAGAAGAAGAAGAAGAAGAAGAAGAAGAAGAAAGAAAGAAAGAAAAAGAAAAAAAAAGAAGTTGTGTGAATGAGGAACGTTATGACAGGAAAAGAAGAAAAGAAAAAGAATTGTCAATGAGGAAGGTTATAAAGAAAGAAGAAGAAGAAATAAAAAGAAGTTGTGTCAATGAGGAACGTTATGAAAGAGAAGAAGAAGAAGAAGAAAAAGAAAGAAAGAAAGAAAGAAAGAAAAAAGAAGAAAAAGAAGTTGTGTGAATGAGGAACGTTATGACAGGAAAAGAAGAAAAGAAAAAGAATTGTCAATGAGGAAGGTTATAAAGAAAGAAGAAGAAATAAAAAGAAGTTGTGTCAATGAGGAACGTTATGAAAGAGAGAAAGAAGAAGAAGAAGAAGAAGAAGAAGAAGAAGAAGCTTAGTAAAGCAAAAGCAAATGATGATAAGAAAGGGAAGTAGATAAATAAAAAGGAAACATTTGGAAATGATGACGACTGTGGAGAAAAAGAAGGAAGGAGAGATGAAAAAGAAATGAAGAGAAAAAAGAGGAATAAAAAATTATACAGTAAGGAAAGTGTTGTCTTTTTTACGGGTCGTGTCCCTTCAGCATGTGATCGATCATCGATCTCCACAACTTCCTCTCTTTTGCAGCACGCTTACTATCCCCCACTTTCCCCGACATTTCAACTATTTAAAGAGTAAATAAAAAAGCGACAAAAGAAAGAGAGAGTATATATAGGAAGGATAGACACAGTACTCTTTAGTGACTAACACATGTGATGGTGAGACTGTCTCTATAAAAGTTAAATAAACGTGCAGGTTCGAAAAACAGTGCCTGGAAATATTTTCCAGAATAATGTGTGAGCTGTACCAAAGAAGCATCGTGTCAAGTAAGGGCTGCTAAATTAAAGGAAATAATTTCATCGTGCTGATAATTTTATATGGTATACAACAGTAGACGGAGAAAGACAGTCGAAGAAAGGCGAATAGACAGAAAGACAAAGAATTTTCAAATAATAAGAATTCTACCAGAAAAATGGAAATATAATAAAAATGGGTAGGATGAAAGATGGAAGATGGGGGAGAAAAAAGTTTATTAGAATGAAGATAAGAATTCTGGAATGCTATTTCTATTTCAGTTACCGGTTGTAACAAAACCGGTTATTAGATTTTTAAAAATAGGATTCAGGAAGGATATTTCTATTTTGGTTACCGTTCGTCCCGAGGGAAAAAAAAGCGTTATCAGAATGAAGATAAGAATCCTAGAAGGCTATTTCCATTTCGGTTACCGTTTGTATTGAGAAAAAAGGCTTAAAAGAATGAGGAGTATAATGTGGGAAGGCTATTTCTATTTTGGTTACCGTTCGTCCCTAGGGGAAAAAAGGCTTTATCAGAATGAAGATAAGAATCCTAGAAGGCTATTTCCATTTCGGTTACCGTTTGTATTGAGAAAAAAGGGTTAAGAGAATGAGGAGTATAATGTGGAAGGCTATTTCTATTTTGGTTACCGTTCGTCTCGAGGGGAAAAAAGCGTTATCAGAATGAAGATAAGAATCCTAGAAGGCTATTTCCATTTCGGTTACCGTTTGTATTGAGAAAAAAGCGTTAAAAGAATGAGGAGTATAATGTGGAAAGCTATTTCTCTTTTGGTTACCGTTCGTGTCGAGGGGAAAAAAGCGTTATCAGAATGAAGATAAGAATCCTAGAAGGCAATTTCCATTTCGGTTACCGTTTGTACTGAGAAAAAAGGGTTAAAAGAATAAGCAGTATAATGTGGAAGGCTATTTCTATTTTGGTTACCGTTCGTCTCAAGGGGGAAAAAGCTTTATCAGAATGAAGATAAGAATCGTAGAAGGCTATTTCCATTTCGGTTACCGTTTGTATTGAGAAAAAAGGGTTAAAAGAATGAGGAGTATAATGTGGAAGGCTATTTCTATTTTGGTTACCGTTCGTCTCGAGGGGAAAAAAGCGTTATCAGAATGAAGATAAGAATCCTAGAAGGCTATTTCCATTTCGGTTACCGTTTGTATTGAGAAAAAAGGGTTAAAAGAATGAGGAGTATAATGTGGGAAGGCTATTTCTATTTTGGTTACCGTTCGTCCCGAGGGGAAAAAAGCCTTTATCAGAATGAAGATAAGAATCGTAGAAGGCTATTTCCATTTCGGTTACCGTTTGTATTGAGAAAAAAGGGTTAAAAGAATGAGGAGTATAATGTGGGAAGGCTATTTCTATTTTGGTTACCATTCGTCTCGAGGGGAAAAAAGCGTTATCAGAATGAAGATAAGAATCCTAGAAGGCAATTTCCATTTCGGTTACCGTTTGTACTGGGAAAAAAGGTTAAAAGAATGAGCAGTATAATGTGGAAGGCTATTTCTATTTTGGTTACCGTTCGTCTCGAGGGGGGAAAAGCGTTATCAGAATGAAGATAAGAATCGTAGAAGGCTATTTCCATTTCGGTTACCGTTTGTATTGAGAAAAAAGGGTTAAAAGAATGAGGAGTATAATGTGGAAGGCTATTTCTATTTTGGTTACCGTTCGTCTCGAGGGGGAAAAAGCGTTATCAGAATGAAGATAAGAATCCTAGAAGGCTATTTCCATTTCGATTACCGTTTGTATTGAAAAAAAAGGGTTAAAAAGAATGAGGTGTATAATGTGGAAGGCTATTTTATTTTGGTTACCGTTCGTGTCGAGGGAAAAAAGCGTTATCAGAATGAAGATAAGAATCGTAGAAGGCTATTTCCATTTCGGTTACCGTTTGTATTGAGAAAAAAGGGTAAAAAGAATGAGGGTATAATGTGGAAGGCTATTTCTATTTTGGTTACCGTTCGTCTCGAGGGGAAAAAAAGCGTTATCAGAATGAAGATAAGAATCCTAGAAGGCTATTTCCATTTCGGTTACCGTTTGTATTGAGAAAAAAGGGTTAAAAAGAATGAGGAGTATAATGTGGGAAGGCTATTTCTATTTTGGTTACCGTTCGTCCCGAGGGGAAAAAGGCTTTATCAGAATGAAGATAAGAATCGTAGAAGGCTATTTCCATTTCGGTTACCGTTTGTATTGAGAAAAAGGGTTAAAAGAATGAGGAGTATAATGTGGGAAGGCTATTTCTATTTTGGTTACCATTCGTCTCGAGGGGAAAAAAGCGTTATCAGAATGAAGATAAGAATCCTAGAAGGCAATTTCCATTTCGGTTACCGTTTGTACTGAGAAAAAAGGTTAAAAGAATGAGCAGTATAATGTCGAAGGCTATTTTTATTTTGGTTACCCTTCGTGTCGAGGGGAAAAAAGCGTTATCAGAATGAAGATAAGAATCCTAGAAGGCTATTTCCATTTCGATTACCGTTTGTATTGAGAAAAAAGGTTAAAAGAATGAGGTGTATAATGTGGAAGGCTATTTCTATTTTGGTTACCGTTCGTCTCGAGGGGGAAAAAGCGTTATCAGAATGAAGATAAGAATCCTAGAAGGCTATTTCCATTTCGATTACCGTTTGTATTGAGAAAAAAGGGTTAAAAGAATGAGGTGTATAATGTGGAAGGCTATTTTTATTTTGGTTACCGTTCGTGTCGAGGGGAAAAAAGCGTTATCAGAATGAAGATAAGAATCGTAGAAGGCTATTTCCATTTCGGTTACCGTTTGTATTGAGAAAAAAGGGTTAAAAGAATGAGGAGTATAATGTGGAAGGCTATTTCTATTTTGGTTACCGTTCGTCTCGAGGGGGGAAAAGCGTTATCAGAATGAAGATAAGAATCGTAGAAGGCTATTTCCATTTCGGTTACCGTTTGTATTGAGAAAAAATGGTTAAAAGAATGAGGAGTATAATGTGGAAGGCTATTTCTATTTTGGTTACCGTTCGTCTCGAGGGGAAAAAAGCGTTATCAGAATGAAGATAAGAATCCTAGAAGGCTATTTCCATTTCGATTACCGTTTGTATTGAGAAAAAAGGTTTAAAAGAATGAGGTGTATAATGTGGAAGGCTATTTCTATTTTGGTTACCTTTCGTCTCGAGGGGGAAAAAGCGTTATCGGAATGAAGATAAGAATCGTAGAAGGCTATTTCCATTTCGGTTACCGTTTGTATTGAGAAAAAAGGGTTAAAAGAATGAGGAGTATAATGTGGAAGGCTATTTCTATTTTGGTTACCGTTCGTCTCGAGGGGAAAAAAGCGTTATCAGAATGAAGATAAGAATCCTAGAAGGCTATTTCCATTTCGATTCCCGTTTGTATTGAGAAAAAAGGGTTAAAAGAATGAGGAGTATAATGTGGGAAGGCTATTTCTATTTTGGTTACCGTTAGTCCCGAGGGGAAAAAGCGTTATCAGAATGAAGATAAGAATCGTAGAAGGCTATTTCCATTTCGGTTACCGTTTGTATTGAGAAAAAAGGGTTAAAAGAATGAGGAGTATAATGTGGAAGGCTATTTCTATTTTGGTTACCGTTCGTCTCGAGGGGAAAAAAGCGTTATCAGAATGAAGATAAGAATCCTAGAAGGCTATTTCCATTTCGATTCCCGTTTGTATTTAGAAAAAAGGGTTAAAAGAATGAGGAGTATAATGTCGAAGGCTATTATTATTTTGGTTACCCTTCGTGTCGAGGGGAAAAAAGCGTTATCAGAATGAAGATAAGAATCCTAGAAGGCTATTTCCATTTCGATTACCGTTTGTATTAAGAAAAAAGGTTTAAAAGAATGAGGTGTATAATGTGGAAGGCTATTTCTATTTTGGTTACCGTTCGTCTCGAGGGAAAAAGCGTTATCAGAATGAAGATAAGAATCCTAGAAGGCTATTTCCATTTCGATTACCGTTTGTATTGAGAAAAAAGGGTTAAAAGAATGAGGTGTATAATGTGGAAGGCTATTTTTATTTTGGTTACCGTTCGTGTCGAGGGAAAAAAGCGTTATCAGAATGAAGATAAGAATCGTAGAAGGCTATTTCCATTTCGGTTACCGTTTGTATTGAAAAAAAGGGTTAAAAGAATGAGGAGTATAATGTGGGAAGGCTATTTCTATTTTGGTTACCGTTCGTCGAGGGGGAAAAAGGCTTTATCAGAATGAAGATAAGAATCGTAGAAGGCTATTTCCATTTCGGTTACCGTTTGTATTGAAAAAAGGGTTAAAAAAGAATGAGGAGTATAATGTGGGAAGGCTATTTCTATTTTGGTTACCATTCGTCTCGAGGGGAAAAAAGCGTTATCAGAATGAAGATAAGAATCCTAGAAGGCAATTTCCATTTCGGTTACCGTTTGTACTGAGAAAAAAGGTTAAAAGAATGAGCAGTATAATGTGGAAGGCTATTTCTATTTTGGTTACCGTTCGTCTCGAGGGGGGAAAAGCGTTATCAGAATGAAGATAAGAATCGTAGAAGGCTATTTCCATTTCGGTTACCGTTTGTATTGAGAAAAAATGGTTAAAAGAATGAGGAGTATAATGTGGAAGGCTATTTCTATTTTGGTTACCGTTCGTCTCGAGGGGAAAAAAGCGTTATCAGAATGAAGATAAGAATCCTAGAAGGCTATTTCCATTTCGATTACCGTTTGTATTGAGAAAAAAGGTTTAAAAGAATGAGGTGTATAATGTGGAAGGCTATTTCTATTTTGGTTACCGTTCGTCTCGAGGGGGAAAAAGCGTTATCGGAATGAAGATAAGAATCGTAGAAGGCTATTTCCATTTCGGTTACCGTTTGTATTGAGAAAAAAGGGTTAAAAGAATGAGGAGTCTAATGTGGAAGGCTATTTCTATTTTGGTTACCGTTCGTGTCGAGGGGAAAAAAGCGTTATCAGAATGAAGATAAGAATCGTAGAAGGCTATTTCCATTTCGGTTACCGTTTGTATTGAGAAAAAAGGGTTAAAAGAATGAGGAGTATAATGTCGAAGGCTATTTTTATTTTGGTTACCGTTCGTCTCGAGGTGAAAAAAGCGTTATCAGAATGAAGATAAGAATCCTAGAAGGCAATTTCCATTTCGATTACCGTTTGTATTGAGAAAAAAGGTTTAAAAGAATGAGGTGTATAATGTGGAAGGCTATTTCTATTTTGGTTACCGTTCGTCTCGAGGGGAAAAAGCGTTATCAGAATGAAGATAAGAATCGTAGAAGGCTATTTCCATTTCGGTTACCGTTTGTATTGAGAAAAAAGGGTTAAAAGAATGAGGAGTATAATGTGGGAAGTCTATTTTTATTTTGGTTACCGTTCGTCCCGAGGGGAAAAAAGCGTTATCAGAATGAAGATAAGAATCCTAGAAGGCAATTTCCATTTCGGTTACCGTTTGTATTGAGAAAAAAGGGTTAAAAAAATGAGGAGTATAATGTGGGAAGGCTATTTCTATTTTGGTTACCGTTCGTCCCGAGGGGAAAAAAGCGTTATCAGAATGAAGATAAGAATCGTAGAAGGCTATTTCCATTTCGGTTACCGTTTGTATTGAGAAAAAAGGGTTAAAAGAATGTGGAGTATAATGTGGGAAGTCTATTTTTATTTTGGTTACCGTTCGTCCCGAGGGGAAAAAAGCGTTATCAGAATGAAGATAAAAATCCTAGAAGGCTATTTCCATTTCGGTTACCGTTTGTATTGAAAAAAAAGTGTTAAAAGAATGAGGAGTATAATATGGGAAGGCTATTTTTATTTTGGTTACCGTTTGTACAGAAAAAAAGTGTTATTAAAATGGTGATAAGAATCCTCGAACGCTATTTTTCTCCCAGTTACCGTTTGTATTTTGATAAAAAAAAATAAGGTTAAAAGAGTGATGAGAAGAATCCTGGAAGGCTATTTTTATTTCGGTTACTGTTTGTACCGAGGAAGACAAAGTGTTATCAGAATGAAGATAAGAATCCTAGAAAGATATTTCTATTTTGGTTACCGTTTTTACCGAGAAAAAAGCTGTTATTAGAATGCAGAGAAGTATCCGGGAAGGTTATTTCTATTTCGATTACTGTTTGTAGCGAGAAATCGCGAGTGAGTGCAAAAGGAGTTGCCGAATGAAGAAAAAACGTGAAGAAGGGCAGCTTCAGTTGGACTGGTCTTTCTTCTGTTAACAATCTTACATTTCCAAGTCGTGCGGGGAGCAAAAAGGAATAGAAAAATAAGGTGTAGGGAATCTCCTATTTCTAATTGATCTCCCCCACCCTGGAGACGGCTCCTCTTGTGACACGGCAAATATTAACACCAGCAATCTTTTCTCTATTTCCATGTAGGCCCTTTGCCACTACCAACAAGAACAATGTGTACAATCACAAGTTTTTAAGGGACCGGGGTAGGAAAACGGAAAGAAATAAAATAGCGGACATTTAAAAGACGTATTAAAATTAGAAAATAAAAGGAAAACGGCAGACGATGAAGAAAATGGAAGGAAGATGCTGGAAAAGTGGAAAATGAGCGTATGCAAGCAGGAGGGGAAGAAATGGCGGCAAACGACATTTTTTTTTTTGTCCGGAGAGATCGCTGTTGTCATTAATCCATTTTCTTAATCTCTTATCAAGAATGGACACCGGAAGAGGCGACTTGGAACGTTTGTCATTGTTTTTATTTTGAGTTTGGCGAATTATAAGCAGGAGGTGTGGAGAGGTCAGGATTGTTTTTCCTCGGTTGTTTTCCAGGGTCGTATAAGGTGAATTGGATTAATTTGCGAAGGTCGTCATAGAGTCATCTTCTCACTCACTCACTAACTTTCTCCCTCTCTCTATTCATATAAATTTTTTATCTGCCTCTCTTTCTATCGGTCTATCTGTTGCCTTATCTGCGTGTGTATGTGTGTGTGTGCGTATCTATCTATCTATCTATCTAATTCTATTCATATCTATCTATCCAACTCTATTCTTACCTACCTAAATCTGCTCATATCTATCTATCTATCTATCTATCTATCTATCTGATGTAATGAATACTAATACACCTGGGTTCCCCCTCACAGTAATATGATTGGCTGGTGTCAGCCATAAATACAGACTGATGTGAAGGTACAGGGACGATGCCTATTGACTACGCCTATTAAATACACCTATTGCCTACCACTACGACGAGGACCAGTCCATTACGATTACCTGCTAGTTTTTCCTATCCGGTTATAGTAGTCAACAATCACTTTGCTACTTCAAACAAATATATCCCTTTCTGGGACATATCAATATCTATCTATGTATTCATGTATTCATATCTATATAATTCTATTCATAACTATCTAATTAAATCATTCTATTCATATTTTTCTATCTATATATTTATATCTTTTATCTTTTTTCCCTGATTCCAATTCTATTTTTACACCTACTTCATGCTTATTTATTCTCTCTCTCTATTTATCTCTGTATCTATATTCATATCTATCTAATTATATTCATCTAACTCCCTCTCTCTCTCTCTCTCTCTATATATATATATATATATATATATATATATATATATATATATATATGATGGACTCTCCCGTCGTTTTCGTTTTCGATGTATGAGTGTCTTTCTGTTCAGTTTTTTATGTTTATGTCCCGTATGAGACAACAATCCTGCACGGGATTTGCAAACGAAGGACATGCTGAAGGGTTGACCGTGATATAGGTTGATGTATTAGCCTGAGATTTAGTGTTAATTCTTAATTCTCTCAGATGGTTGAGATGATACTTTTCAAAGTTAGTTATACCTCGGTAGCAGGTGTTTCTCCAGTTTGCCCGGTTTTCAACAGCGAGTTCGAATTCCTATATAGGGATGTTTTAGCATTTAAATTGGATTTAAGTTTATCCTTGAATATATATATATATATATATATATATATATATATATATATATATATATATATATATAATAAAGGGTTTATTCTACATTCAACACCATCCCTTGATAAGACACCAGAAGTGTTGAAACAAAATGGCTATTTTTGTAGTGATTTTATAGCATATTTATGTTATAATTTTCGAATAAATAATTATATATATATATATATATATATATATATATATAGTTTATGCAAACTTAGGTAATCTGTATGGGTAGACCTGAGGAGGATGATATCCAGAGAGCTCAATGTAAAATTCAGAGCAGATATGTTTGAATAAAAGACAGACCACGTTAAGATTCCATGTAATAAACTATTTCACCATAACCCCTTTAACAGGGTTCTGGATCATCAGACTTTACTTCCAAAAGCTGAAATGAATAATGAAAAGAAATTCCCGCGTTTTTGACGGACCTCATCAAGTATACGTAAAATTAACGAAGTGAGGAAGTGAGGTGGGAGAGAGGATATGAGTGTGTCATATGTATCATTTTAGTTTCCTATTTAGAGAGAGAGAGAGATATCAATGTTTCCATATCTATCAATCCATTCGCAAACATTTAAGTTATTCGAAGTATATTGCAATAAACAAGACTCAAAATAAATCTTTCCAAACTGGAAACTATCATGTGGAATTGAAGTGAAAGCAATGATGACTCCGAACGTGAATAATTCATAAAAACTCCATTATGCAGAATTAGCAAATAAACTCTTAAATAACCTCGGTGTATGGATCAGTTACAATAAATTTAGTACAGGACAAAGAAATTAAACGTGGAATAGGTTATTCGATGGCTAGTTTTGCCCAACACCGCAAACTGCTACAAACCGGAAACAGAAACCTAAAAACGAAAGCCACGTTTTTAAATAACCTCGTCAGATCGAGGCTTTCATAAAATGTCATGTATATCGACAAACTCGTTCAATAATAATTAAACTGTCGGCTCTGAACAATCGCTTTCTCAGGCCGATGGTCCAAAAATGGCTTTGATAGAGTTAAACATGGTAACCTCATTGAGGACCATCCTTCCTCGAACCTTATGGACTGGCGCAAAAGAATCACAAAGAACTATCTATCTATCTATGTTCATATCTATCAATCTTTTTATCTTTATGTCTGTCTGTCGACTTGTGTTCACATTTACTTACACGAAAACATTTATTTTTTTCATATATGTCTATCATTTCAATTATGTATTTAAATGTTCATGTGTCTGTATATAAATTTAGATATATTTAGATGTGATCTGTCTATCTATCTTTCTGTCTATCTAATTCCATTCATATTTATCTAGCTATCGCTTTTTATTTATCTTTGTGTGTGAGTGTGTGTGTCACTTTATTTCATGTCGTCTATCTCTCCTATCCTCATTATTTTAATCAGACATTTCTCATCTGCCATCATCTCTTTCTCTCTACTTCTCCGTTTTTACTTTCATTCTCTTTTTTTCTGGGTATTATTTCTATAACCTCTTCTTTTCTCTACATTCCCTTTCCTACCCTTTTTTTCATTTAATCCTCTCTTTCTTTTTCATTCTCTCTCTCTTCCACTTTTCTTCTCTTTCTTTCTCTCTCTTTCAGTCGTTTTTTTCTCTTAAGATTTTTTCCTTCCCTATTATCTTTTACGCCTTCTTTCTTTTCTCTCTCTCTCTCTCTCTCTCGCTTTCTCTCTTTCACCCGTTCTCTCATTACTTCGCTTTTCTCTTTTTTTTCTTTTTTTTTTTTGATTAAGTTTCGTTATATCTAATTCTTTCTTTCTTTCAATATTTCTTTCTTTCTTTATATATTTTATTTATTTATGTCTGCCTCTTTCACATTCAGACTCTTTTTCTTTTCTTTTCCTTGCATCTTTTTCTCTCTTACTCTTTTTCATGTCTACCTCTTTTCTTTCCTCCCTTCTTTTCTTCCTTCTTTCATTTCTTCCTCCTTTCTTTCTCTATCACACTCAATCTCTCTTTCACACACGCCCTCTCATTCAATCTTTCTCTTTCTTCTGTTTCCTTTTGTTTTCGTCACTTCTCTCTCTACATTTCATATGCTTAGTGCAGCACAAATCCAAATGGCGTAAAAATGGGATCTGGAAGATTAGGTTGCGCCATTCGTCTCATTAGAGAGGTCTTGTCTTCCTGTCTAGAAAATACTGAGGTAGGATCTTCTGGGCTTTTTTTTTATTTGCTTATTCTTCTTTCATTCTTTTTTTCTACCTCTCTGTATCTTTTTTTTTTTTTTTCTTTCCTATCGACTAAATCTTTCTCCTTTTCTCCATCGTTTTCCATCACATTTTTACATTCCCTTACTCCTTCCATTTCTTTTCCCTACCACATCTTCTATCTTTTCCCGCCTACTCTTTCTTCACATCACTTCTTTCTTACTCCTCTCACTCTCTTTCTCCCCCTCTCCCTCTCTCTTTTTCTCCCCCTCCCCTCTCTCTTTTCTCCCCTCCCCTCTCTCTCTCCCCTCTCCCTCTCTCTTTCTCCCCCCTCCCCCTCTCTTTTTCTCCCCTCCCCTCTCTCTCTTTCTCTCCCCTCTCTCTCTCTCTCTCTCTCTCTCTCTCTCTCTCTCTCTCTCTCTCTCTCTCCAAGGCTCTCCCTTTTTTTTTTCACTTATCCTTTCTCTAATCTCTGGTGTTTTTTGGTTTTTTTTTTTTTGGTTTTTGTTGTTTTTTGGGTTTTTTTACCGCTCTATTCTTTAAGCTTTTTCTCCTCCTCTGCCTAACAGCGGCTGTCACAACTATAATAGTCGAATGAGCACGGGGACAATTTGATGAGAGTTTGGTTTCCGGTCCTGGAGATACGGGCAAGGCCGGGTGGAGGAACAGCCAATTTGTGATGTCATCGCGTTTCCCGTCACTCCCTTGCCGAAGAAATGATAAATTGATAGAAACGATGGCGGCCTGCATTCACACACGCGCCAAGTCAACATTCGATTCCGAAGAAGACATCATTTCCCAGGCTGTATGGAGATTGATATTTATATATAATCTGATCGGCGCCAGAAACGTTCCAAGATTCACCGCGGCTAACTGAAACCGCGAATAGTACTAAAATCTAAATACTAGTTTTTGGTGTTTGTTTTTTTTTCTTTTTCTTTTTCTATACATAAAATGATAATGTTTAACTTATAAATTAAGCGGAATAAGAGTTGTTGTTACATATTTCCTCGGATACATTATCTGATTCATTTATCATATATATATATATATATATATATATATATATATATATATATATATATATATATATATATATATATAGTTTATGCAAAACTAGGTAATCCATATGGGTAGACCCAAGGAGGATGATATCCGGAGAGCTCAATGTAAATTCAGAGCAAATATGTTTGAATAAAAACAAACCACTTTAAGGTTCCATATAATAAATTATTTCACCACAGCCCTTTTAAAAGGGCTCTGGATCATCAGACTTTACTTCCAAAATTTTCATTTCAGCCTTTGGAAGTAAAGTCTGATGATCCGCAGCCCTTTAAAAGGACTGTGGTGAAATAATTTATTACATAGAACCTTAAAGTGGTTTGTTTTTATTCAATATATATATATATATATATATATATATATATATATATATATAATGTGACTTCTGAGGCAAGTTACGTGCAAGTAATTATTTCTGTTTTGGATAGGAACGTTTGAAAGATTTGTTACGAAATAAATAAGTCAAGAAATGCAAAGTAACAGTGAGGATCACTTTTATTTTCCAATATTTGGGTTTTTATTCTCACTCTTGCCTTATTTAATTGTAATATACGGAAAAATATTCGTGAATATAAAAGGATTATGATAAAAATAAGCTGACATATTTTTTGTAATTTATTCAGTCAGACATGCCGAAAAGAGAATGCCTGTTTTTGCACTTCAGCTGCGTTTTCACACTTCCTGTAGCATTTTAAAATGAATTTCCTTTGTTCAAAGCTTAGTATGACTGGCATGAATAATTCTAATAGGTTTAACATGGAAAGAAAAAAAATATCAATTAAGCTATCAGCTGTTAAATGTTGTATACATTTTCTGGGACACCCTCTATATATATATATATATATATATATATATACAGAGAAAGAGAGAGAGAGTATATGTAATCTGAAGTTGGTGATGTATAGCCCCCTCTTGCTGAGAAGTCAACGGCGCCCATTTAATTATAATATTGCATACTCTCTGGCGTCTTCTCCCGGCCGTTGGTCGCTAGATGCATTTGGGTGCAGAGATAAAAAGAACTTCAACACAGATAATTTTAACTATCTTTATTAATGTAGACATATACATTACTCAATTAATTAGGACTTTGCTAACCAGACGCTTCTTCATAGCTGAGAGGTATAGCACGTCAGATCAATTTACGGTTCCGTATAGGACACAGGTTCGCTCAAACATTCAGGCCGATAAATGTGATTAGTACTATTTATAAAACAAGAAAAAATAGAACATTTACTTAAATAAACTGTCTCCATTTAAATAACGTATAGACAATATATATATGTATATATATATATATGAAGAAATATAGTCTTAAGATGTGCTATATTTATGGGATAAAATGCTCAATATCAGAGATAGAGTGTGTAAATATAAAAGTGAACATAGAACTCAACACTTAGAGGCGACAGTCTGTTTCATGCTAGATGCAATCGTCAGGCCACACACACACACATATATATATATATATATATATATATATATATATATATATATATATATATATATATATTATCACTTCCAGAGTTATATTTAGTGGACATCTGTAACTGATTAGACGCTCCGTTTATTTCAAACTGTATTTATTTTGTCTACCGGCTTGTGTAATCGAGGAATCGGTAGGATTCGAACCTGCGTCCCTCTCTTTCTAATGTATTTCGTAACAAATCTTTCAAACGTCCCTATCCGAAACGGACATAATTACTTGCACGTAACTTGCCTCAGAAGTCACATTATTATCTAACTTCCGAATAAACTTAAAAGAAATTTACGTTGAAAACTAACGTCTTTAGGAAAATAAATTCAAACGATTTTATGTCGTAAGATCTTTTAAGAAAAATATGATACATAAAAAATATATCAAAATGCATTTGTCTCCTGATGAGTTGATTTCAGAACCTGCGAAACTCCGAAAAAAAACAAGTAAACAATTTATTTATTTACTACTATTACGTCTATTACTACTACTATTACTCCTACTACTACTCTTATCAACAGCAACAGCATCATTATTATTATTATTATTATTATTAATAATTCCTTTCATTTCTGTTGTATACAATTTTTCTTCCGGGACACAACCAGAGAATTATGTTCAGAAATGGTTTCATGACATTTTCCATTGATCATTTTCTAATTAAAAAAAAAATTAAAGACAACACATATTTTACTTCGTTAAAATGCTTTTTAATGTTTGAGCTGTACTTGTGAGTACATTATTTATTTAAATCATGAGCGAACCGGAATTCATTCAAATAGTTTATCGGGACCTTTTCCAATCATCCCGAGGGAGCCAACTACAACTGGAATTATTGAAGTCCTCATGTACCACATTTTTTCCACTTCAACATCCTTATATTTTGATAGTATGTTTGAAAATCTTCAAAGATATATTACAATTTTAAAGACTGCCATGTCAATAAGAAAGCACATTCCGTTTTTATGATCTTTGATCAACATACCTGGGTGATTAGATTTAATTGTTCTGTCTGTGTATACTATAAAGTCATATAAAATTGGTACAGGTCCTATCACTCTAACCGGGTCTGGGTGATGTTCATACCAGTTTCTTAGTTTCCTCCCCACAAAAATTGAATATTTTCCAGTGCAGATAATGTCCCACTCTATCATACCGAGTTTTATATTCAGCGAGTGCAAACAATGTGCATCCTGATACAAGATGGTTAATTGTTTCTGAATATTTATTACAGATATGCTTGATAATTTCTAGTTAAATGCATTGGCCTTGTGCAGCAAGAATAAAACCTTCGGTTTCAACTTTCAAGCCTACACTATGTAACCACTGATGGGTACGGGATTTGTCTACATTAGATTGTTTGGTACGAGTAGAATATTGGCCATGAAGAGGCTTATTTTGCCATTGTTTCTGCATTTGGTACATTGCATTTGCCTTTGCTTCTTTTTTTAGCTTATTTTCTGCTGTAGTAGTAGTTGTATTATGGTTTATTTGCCCTTCTTCATCCACCTGAAATTCCTTTTTGAATTTGTTAGCTTCCTTTATTACTGGATAAAGTTTCTTATTTCTTTCATGTTCTTTGACACATCCATTCTTCTGTAGTTTCCAGGTATCTTTGAAAACTGATTGTTGTAGTTTTGTAAGATAGTTCTAGTTGAACTAATCCTCTGCCTCCTTCGAATCTGGACACATAAACATGATCAACATGAGCCTTAGTATGATGCATGTGGTGCTAAGTGAGAAGCTTTCACGTTTTGACATCCATTCGCTTAATGTCAGTTACGGTCTAATTAAGGATGTTGAAACTGTATTGCACCACAGGGGAAGCCAAAGTGTTTATGGCTTATATTCTGCTTTGGTGAATTCAAGTCGGTATTTTAACGTCTATAGTATTCTTTTCTTACATTATCCATCATTTGGGTATGTTGTATTCCATCTCCTTCGCTGACTCCTAGATATTTATAGACATCTTGTCCCATTTCCCTAATCATTGTGACAAAATCGAGATCTATTGAGTGTGTTTCTGTCATTATCCCTTTCTTGAATGTTACTTTTGCACATTTATCTAATCTGAAATCCTTACTGATGTCATCACTGAAACATTCTACAGTATTGATGGTACCCTGCAACTCACTGTTGTCTTTGCCAAAGAGTTTGAGGTCATCTATGTAAAATGGGTGATTAAACACTTTCTTTTTTTACCTTGTATCCACTGTTATTACTGTTTAATTTATGCGAAAGGGGCTTAAGAATAAACAGAACAGAAACGGTATAAAATTATTCATCGGATATTCAAACAATTGAAGGTGGCAGTACCTTTCGTGGGATTTAGGTATAATGTGGTTTTCCAGTTACATGCTATATCTAATGAAATTTACTATCAACGAGGAGACATTATACATTTTCAAAGCCTTTACGACAATCTATCGAAGCCGTGCTAAAATTTCTACCTGTTTTCCTGCAATTTTTCCGGAACAACTTTAACAATAATAATAATAATAATAGTCCTGCCCATGTTTCAAAATATCTAAAGTGATTATAATCACGAATTCACTATACTTTATAATAATTGTATTTAAAAACATGATGGCAGTTTCCACTTGGGCCAGAAATGTTAATTCTGTCATAATTACTATTTATTAAAAAAAAATAGTTTTATTTTTGCGCCATCATAAATTCTTAAGAATGAAATAAACACATATACAGTGTAAGGATATAAGAGACCCGGATATAAGAGAAACCCGGATATAAGAGAGATTTTCTCTGGTCCCAAATTAGAGCCTGTGTTAATATATATAAATTAGACCCGGATATAAGAGAGATTTTCTCTGGTTCCAAATTAGAGTCTGTGTTAATGTATATAAATTAAACCCGGATATAAGAGAAACCCGGATATAAGAGACTTCTCCGGTCCCGACAACTCTCTTATATCCGGGTTACACTGTACGACCAAAAATAAAATTCATTTTTTGAAGAAAAAAATTATTACTCAATTACTGTGTATTAATTCTCTTTAATAAAGAAATATTTTTCGATGTTAATTCCATAATTTATTCCTGTTTTTGCTCTTCTCAGGGGCAGCAGTGCGAGGGAAGGGTAGATTATCTTGGAATTTAAACACGGTTCCCACGCTAATTTCAGTTTCCGCGCGCTGCTACCTACTGAGTTAAAAAAGCTCCGCTGGTATATTTTTTTTTTTAATTGTTTATTATTTTATATTTAATAAATAAATGCTTGCATAGACGATTACAAAGTGGACATTTCGCCGTGGTGTAATGGTTAGCAAGCTTGTCTCGCTAGATCATTTACGACTGAATAGTGAGTTCGATTTTCGCTGGGTACCCCATGCTTTCAGCCTTGTGACACATCTAAGCTATGCTTAAAAAATCACCGTAGACACTTACAATTACCACGCTTCCGGGTTATGCGGTGTTTCATAAAACGTTGGCAGTTTGTCCGGAAATAGCAGTTTGAACCAAGTATTCACCTAAGAGGTTAGAAACCCGTGTGTGTCACTGGAATGACTTTCATATTTATTTATTTTTATATATATACTAGCAACATGGCCCGGCGTTGCCCGTGCTTGATTCAAAAATCGTACGACTCATACAGCAATCGTTATCACTTGACTTAAAATATTTTTCCCCTTCCTTGCCTTTAAAGGAGTGCCCTTTGCCATGCTGATGTTGCTACATGCCTTACTTCTTGCCTATTTCACACTGCCAATTTTTTCTAAGCTCTATACTAAACATTAAATCTTTTACGAAAAAAGAACTAAACAAAATGAACACAAAACGATCAGCTTTAAAAAAGGACTCGTAACTGGAAAAACCGAATTAAAAAAGAATGTTAACAACAAATACTTTTTCACACCCAACCCAGTTCTGCGGAATCAGAATCAACGTTGAGTTTAAGCAAGCGAATCAGCCAATTAGAGTAAAGTGCCATGCAGATTTAAATTTTTCCCACTTGTGACGAATGCAGCTATCGATTTTTATGCATGCTAGTTAACATTCGTTTCAGTCAGCTGTTGGCTCTCACGCTGGCCAATAGATTCTTGCTGCCTATTCGCGACAGCCAGCTACAGGCTGTCACTCTGGCCAGTATAAAATGGCCGCAAACTACATGAAAACTGCCGTAGAAGCATGAAAAAATCGATTATTTCCACTATCGATGGGAGTTGGGAAATGCAAAGTCGGTCTTGGCCTTTCCCGCTAACTTGGAGCATGTGCATGTAAATTTTGGTGCAAATCCATCGAAAATTGCGGCCGTGCATTCGTTACACACACACACACACACACACATCTTGCCTTTTATATATATATATATATATATATATATATATATATATATTACGAAATGGATTACGTCCGACAATCAGTTAATATATTTTCTGTTTATACGTTATTTTTATAGATATAATTTATTTAAGTAAATCCTCAATTAAATAAAGACAATTAAATAATTATGTCTTAATTATTTAAATAATTAAGACAATTAAATAATTGGTGGACTAAATCCATTGCATAATATGTTGTCATTGTTTACGTTAAGATACGTTTCGTGAGCCGAAATGATCGATCGAGGAAAATCGTCAAATTTGTGCGTTTATAAACTGTAATTCGGACGTTGCTAATCAAAACGCTTCTTTGTCGCTGAATGGTAACGGCACATCAGTCTGTATTATGGTTTCTATAAGGATTACACGTTCCATTCTTGTCAGAAGAGCGCATATTTTCTCGAACATTCAGACCAGGAAATGTAATTAACACACATACACACACACTCACACATACACACATGCTACATTACAAGGGATCATTCATTCAAAAAGTAAATTAGTAAAGTTAATGATATAAAATGGTGAAATCCCATCTCTAACAAAATTTTAAAGATGCATTAACCTACTAATCACTCGATGAATGCTATGATCCTTGTTTTTTTAAATTATAAGCTTTATAAGGTCTTTCTTAAATACACATAACTGCCATATCAGTAAAAAAAAAAAAAAACGCATTCACTTAAATTTTCAAAAAAATTCAGCCTTAGCGTTACGACTGCACGCCCCAAAAGTTTGTATCCGTTATCAAAAACACATTTAAAAAATAAAAAACATAAATAAATAAAACATTTCGATTCGCATTATATTTTGTTTGTCACAGATGCTACCTGAATTTTACCAAAAACAAAATAATTTCCATGCCTGAAGATGACTGAATGTACAATCGAAAGTACACGCATATTTATGAAAGACCTTATACAGCTGTAATATAAATTGAACTGCACCACATATTTTATATATATATATATATATATATATATATATAAAAGTCAATGGATTTATTTTTAATCCAACACATTCATTACTTCAAAACTTATTAGACACTCGTATTTGAAATAGACGCATCATTTTTTTTTATGTTAAACGATGAATATTATTTATATCGTCCAATGCATTCAAGAAATCTTAATGAACAACGTGTGTCCTCCGGATGGGATTGAACCTGTAGGGAAGACTACAGTTCGATCTGGCGTACTTTTCCGCTCTATCGCAGTAAGGCTCTATTTTCCCGTTTTAACGAAAGCACAACCTCCTCACTAATTTTTTCTCGAAAGCCGATATCTGCTCATTTTTCTATCCGAAACGTAAACAAAGTAATTACGAAAGAATTTACATTGTTCGTATTATCATGCTCATCTTTGTCGCCATGTTTTATCACAACGTTTCGGCCGTTGTATGCTCCGGCCTTCTTCAGGTGGTTGGAATGTCGAACTGAACCCTTTATTTCGCCCGCTGGGGTAGACTGTTCTAGTTCCACGTGGCATGTCTAATGGATGTCATTTAACAGTTATCTCCTGTTAATTCCCTTCTCCAAGTTCTCCACAGAAACTTTTTGAAAAGCTAAGCGAAATCGGTTAAAGTAAAAAAAATATGTTTAAAAAAGTAAAACAACAAATTATTTTTCTAAGAAGAAAACACTGAAAAACCAATTTTAAATAACAAAGTTGTAATTCTTCGCTGTAAAAATTCATATATTAATAATAAATATCTCTATCTTAAATATTAGTTTGTTTTTTGTTTCCATTCCTCATTTTAGTATATGCCATAAGTTTTTGTACAGAATCATATTTTTTACCTATATATATATATATATATATATATATATATATATATATATATATAAATGCAAAGTATGTATAAGATAAGTTCCTCTACTTCACGAATTTAAGCACAATGCTAGATTGTCAGATAGGTCTCATCAATTTATAACTGAATCGCTTGTCAAACTCTGTTCCGGTCCCATTTTTTTCTAATCAACTTTGATCTTTAAGACTTTAAATGCAATGCCAATTGTTATCTTCTGTCCTCTTAATACCTTTTCTTGTATTGTTCCCTCTCCTTAATAATGTTTTTTTCTTTTTCTCATATACTTTCATATTCAGTAACTCCTTGCATCTTAGCGGCTTTATTGCCTTGTTTGAGATGGAGTGATTAAGAAACGTAATATTTAATTTTATTTATTACGAATTATATATATATATATATCGAGGTACGATGAGAATGAATAGTGTACACTTCCAACGTTAGTAACATTTAATTTAAAAGAGGGCTCAATACATAGTAGACCAATATTATTTATTTTAGGATATTACAACAAAAACATGTAAGGATCGCTACACAATTGCAGTCGTGTTACAACACATAACGATGCGTCTCCTCAGGAAATTGTAAATTACTACTGTGTAAAGGATCTTACATGTTTTTTATTGTAATATCCTAAATATATATATATATATATATATATATATATATATATATATATATAGAGAGAGAGAGAGAGAGAGAGAGAGAGGATGGGAGGAAAAAAGTAAGTAAGCATTAAAAATTGGTAATAAAATCCATATTCCTATTACAAATTTATTGAAACAAATGAAACATGTTCTTTATTACATGGGAAAATGAAAGTAAATCTTCATATTTCAATGTAAGCACTGGTGTCATCAACCATTCTCCTCAAACGGCCAGTGATGAGATGAACAACTTTCTGAAGGACGTTGTCTGGGATATCATTGAGAAACTCCTGAATCCGTGTCTCTAAGTCCTCCAGTGTGTGAGGTTTTGTCTTGTACACCTCCTCTTTTGTGCAACCCCACAGGTAAAAAAGCATATGTAGTGAGATCTGGACTTCTTGGAGACCATTCCTGAGATTCACGTCGTCCCATCCAACGTCCTGGTCTAACCACGCATGTACAATAAGATCAAAAGGGGGTGGTGTACCATCCTGTATAAACCTCAGGTCATTAATGTTAACCCAGACAGACACCGTGGGCTACACGTAATTTTCGAGCATCTGAAGACAGCGGTTCACATCCATGGTGTCACGCAGAAGATATGGGTCGACGACTCTCCTTGTTATCATTCCACACAACAAGATCACTTTTGGGCCACTTTACATCCTCTCAACCGTCATGTTCGGATCGTTATCACACGACGCCCAGTGAACACAGCCTCGTCACGTCCTTGTGTCACATGTTGCCCTAGTGGGAGGGAGACAAAATATAGTCACTCCAGAGTATATTTTCAAACAATTCAGGCAAATCTTCATGCCAACCTAGCATTAACTTTCCATATTCCATCCTGTGACCAGAGTCTTCAGATTTTAGCTCCTGCATTTAAATAAGAAATCCCTATTAAGATCTGTTTTAAAAAAATGTTTTCATCATGACTTCAGTGATATTAAAATTCTGTAAGCAATTTCTAATACCTAGATTCTTTCTACCCACCCTGTATATATATATATATATATATATATATATATATGTGTGTGTGTGTGTGTGTGTGTGTGTGTGTGTGTGTAGAAACGGACTGTTTATTTGCTGTATTCTGCATATACACATTCAAACACACATACACACACATACACACAGATATATATATACTAAATGTTCACCCAACCTATGACCGGAATAGTCAAATCGATTACATTCACTTACGTGGTAATACACTAGGGAAAGGCATGAACCCTTGTCTTCTCCTCGCAGTTATGGCTAAATAGCAGGACAGAACCGGGTTCTATAGTCTTGGATAGCAACTGGTCTACAACAGAAAGAAACGGCAACCTACTGCGGGAAAAAAATCTTCGTCGTCAGTCATGTATCGAAAGATACATGATCGCCTCAGCGTGTATCTTGCATGACACATAACTGACTGAATCTATGACCCAAGGGTGGCTCAATTTAAAATTTTACTGAATGAAGTTGTTCTTTGAAAAGTAAGAAGAAGCAGTAAGTTCAGATTATGAAGATATATACGATAGATAACTATAAACGCAAGTCTTGAAGAAGATTCTACATTTTAGTGGTCGGGGAAGCATTCTCTCGTGAATCTGTTCCAAAAGTAGCGATTCTCGGGAAAAAGCTATGTGGGTGTAACTTCCTTGTTACCAGTGGAATTGCGAAAGAAATGAATAAGATTCGACCCTTTGTACGTGACATGGTAGGTACTAGCTGTAATAGTTTAATTTGGTGGAACTAAGAAATCTAGCTCTTTGATCATTTGCCATGGAAATAGCGATAGATTAGTGATAGGCTTGCAATTTTTCGTCACGGGCCAAGTATATATATGGTGGACAATAATTAATCGCCCACCAGGCCGTGTAAACGCTTTTGAAATTTATCAAGACTGGAAAATGAGAATTAGGTAGATCCAGCCCAGATATGACAGCAATGCTCTATTTTTGGTCTGATCTGACTCTTGTAAAATGTGTAGATCAAACCACAGGTAGAATTCAAGCACCTTCTGAGGCCTTATAATGAACTATTTGTTCAGCATCTTCACTGATGGATGATATGTATGAGTTTTACTTCAGATTCGGTGAAACAAGCGATTGATGATCACAAGAGATTTCAACGGTTGCACCAACATATTATGAGGGCTACGCATGAAAGACATGTTACAGAAGGCGCCACTCTAAAGTATAACAGAGTCAGCGGCATTCCGTTGCAGTTTCATAACTGGATTCTACATGTCTCATTCCATATGTACCGCAGAGGAAGGTTATGAAATCACTTGTGTGGGTCACTTCCCGGTAAATTGAAATTCTGCTTAAACAAATTCACGCCATCGGCACTTTCTCCTACTCTGATTTTCTTTCACCTCTAACCAATAGTTTCAAAGCCAAAATGGCGATAAGGTGTGGATGACGAGAACAGGTTTTGGTGAAACTGGAAGCTTCTAGTCCTGAACCTGCACCTTGGCGGCGAATTTAGTCATCAACGCCCGTATCATAAAGGACGTAAAGAAGAAATTGAATGATTGGATACGAGATAAAGCCGACGACTTCACATCAACAGTGAACTGGGGTGCCGAAAGATGTTAAAGGCAAGGAATCTCATTAAGAAGACAATCAATCGCTCATCAGGACTTCACGAAAAGTACATGCGTGTGCGCGTGTACAAAACAGCTTATTTTAGTTTTAATTTGCGATATTCTGGCTTGCAGAAGCACACAATCACACACAGAGACACAGACACACACACACATACACAGACACAGACACACACACACACACACACACACACATATATATATATATATATATATATACCCAATTTTTACACTTTAAAATATTTGCTTCACTGAGAGGAGTTTGCCGCCTAGTAGATCTTTTAACACATCCCAACTTGCGAAATATTCTACACTCAGACCTCAGGTCAAAAGTGGCTGTTTCCCATACCTCGCTTTACATTATATTCATATATATATATATATATATATATATATATATATATATATAATTTGTTCGAAAATTATAACATAAATATGTTATAAAATCAATACAAAAATCACTACATAATATGTTATAAAATCAATACAAAAAGTAGTCATTTTGTTTCAACACTTCTGGTATCTTATCAAGTGATAGTGTTACTCTATTCTGTATTGAGCACTCTTTTTGGAAATAGTATTTTTGGTTATTGGAATTTATTCTGTATACACCAATCATATACATGCATATATATATATATATATATATATATATATATATATATATATATATGATTAAATATAGTTTTTAGGTATGCTATATTTATGGGTTATCGAGTGTATGTAGATATAAAGGGGACATTGAAGTCAACGCCCAGAGGCGACAGCACCCTGTTTCATGCTTATACGTTTAGCATGAAACTAACTGTCGATGTTGACTTCCATGTGTATATATATATATATATATATATATATATATATATATATATATATATATAGAGAGAGAGAGAGAGAGAGAGAGAGAGAATTTGTGTATTTAGGCAGCAAACCTTCTTTCATGTACCTTTCACTGGATACGACAGACAAGGTGCTTTTGATTTTATTTTTTACAATTTCTCATGCGATCTAATTATTTTTTATCATCTTTAAAAAAAAAAATTATTAGATGGCATTAGAAATATATAAGAAAATAAATCTAGCACCTTGTCTGTCATATTCAATGAAATGTGCATACACACGCGCGCACACCTACACACACATATATATATATATATATATATATATATATATATATATATATATATATATATATATATATATATATATAGGGGTTAATGTGTCTGTAAAAACAGAAAATTATTATAGGTTTTTTCCTAAGTTTTAAAAAACATGAGTAAGAATTAAATCTGTTGTCCTTGTCACATGTGATTCTGAGTAATCCCATAAAACTAACGTATTAAAACGGTTGGAAATGCATTAGTTCCCCTTCCCCACACACACACTCAGAATTACTTGGTAATGAGACACACACACACACACACACACACACACGCGCACACACACACACTCACACACACAAACACACAGACAGAGACGATCGAACCAATCACGTGACCTGCCGAGCCTATGCACGTGTTAGGAGTTTAATTTTTCCGACTTCCTTCACCCACAAAGCACCTCTTCAAGAAACCAAATACAATTTGATCCGAATGTGAGGAGAGTGTTCAGTTAATCTTCGTCACCGAAGCGATACGTAATGCGTAAATACGCCCTCTACTTTTTACTGATTAGATCTTCTATCAAAAAAATAAAATAAAATAAAATAAAATAAAAAATTGATTTCTTCTTCTCGTAGGACTACATTTTCAGGACACACACACGCACGCACACACATACACGCACACCTCAAAATAGTCCTTTACCGTCGATTTTCCGTACAGCGTACAGTCAGAAATCTTACCGAATTAATGATTTTGTCAGACTAACTGAAATCAAGTGAACACTGATTCAGTAATATATATATAATCCGCCATTAAAACACTGCTTTATCCACCTTAAGACGAATTAAACTTATCGGGTATTAAAACTGTTTAAGAGTAATTCAATGTTTTAACATCTACTTTAAACACACGACCATACACAGGCAAGCACATGTACATACGGATATAGACGTCTTGCTATGAAGCATTGATTGACAAACTAGCCAAGTAGACCATTATACTAGGGATTCGACTGAGTACTCATCACTTGTAGCTTTTTGCCATATTAAGCTAATCTACGCAAGTTTCATTGAATATGTCGGACGGGGAATAATTTGTAAGATTTTTATCCAGTTTTTCTTGTGTCCATCCATTTTTCTTCTTTGAAGTCTAAGTGCAACACACACACACACACATACAGGTAAACACACACACATATATATATATATATATATATATATATATATATATATATATATATATATATATAAATTCATGAATGCATACGTGTACAAAACGGATTGAAAAAGAAGCGGAATGAATTGAAAAAGTTGGAAATATCATCTAAAAACAGAACCCCTTGAAGAATGGTGATTATCAAGAAACTTCGAAGTCGGGGAAAACAACAAAAAAATTGATATTAAGTCATTTTATATGATTTTACACACACACACACATATATATATGTATATATATATATATATATATAAACAAGAGGAAAAAATTATTTTTAGCGACGCGTTTCGTCCTCTGAGGAATTTTATCACGGCAAATGTCAGAGGACGAAACACATCGGCTCAGAAAAGTTTTTCCTGTTGTCGTTTTATTCATTTTATTTACAGATACATTCTATCTGAAAATTATTTACAAAACACACACACACACACACACATATATATATATATCTATATATATATATATGGATATTGAATTCATCAACCAGATGTCACAGTCCGTTACATGCTTAAAACATGGCCTGACGATTTCGTTTAAGCATGAAACAGACAGTCGCCTCTGACTGTAACTTTAATAATCCAATTTTGTATTTACATACACTCTATCCCCGATATTTAGTAATTAACCTATAAATATAGTTAAACCATGTTTTTTATCATATATATATATATATATATATATATATATATATATATATATATATATATATATGCTGTTGCAATATAAGCTACAGGCTGCCTCTGTGGGTGTTGAATAAACACAAATGTACCTGAGAGAGCGTCTGTAATAGGATTGGCTAGCCGCCTAATAAACGGCTATCCTCGAATACGAGTGGCCAACTATTTTATATATATATATATATATATATATATATATATATATATATATATATATATATATATATATTCGTGAAAATCGTATTAAAGAAAAATATGCGCTCTTCGAACCCGCGTCCGCCTTGATTTGTGTCGCCGAACAAGCCAGGTTGAATATTTTTTTGTATTTCATAGACTTCTCGACCTGTCGGATTAATGCTAAAGACATTAATTCTTTATATATATATATATATACATATATATATATATAGAGAGAGAGAGATAGACAGACAGAGACAGAGACGGACAGAAATAGACAGACAGAGAGAGTTTGGTTATTGTCCAAATCCCATGAACCCCAATAACATTTTTGTCAAATTTTACAAGATTCTTTTCGAAGTCAAAACAAAGCCTGAGATAAATTTTTAGGTAGTTTCAAAGTTTTTTAAGTTATTAAATTTATTATAAAAACTGCAATCTGAAACTATTATGAAAAACAAAAATCTCTTTTTACTTCAATAAGAAGATAATAAAATTATCAACAATTGATCAACACCTATCGTAAAACAAATAACAAACATATATGGTAAGTGTTAATATAGTAACCCTACACCCAGTAAACCTTTATCCACTGATTCTATTATTTTTTTTTTTTTACTTCAGCAGGTTCAATTTTCGACATGGTGGTTTTAATTACTTCCTAAAGGAATGCTTTGCTGTCATATCGTTTGTCACCTTCATATAATTTGATCTTCACGAATGGCCATAGATTTTCAATTGGATTCAAATCGGGACCTGATGTTCACCATTTCATTATCTTTTCTTCTGTAAAGCTTTTACGCTCAAAACTTCACGGGTGACCGTACATATATGCGAAGAAGCATTATCGTGCATAAATACACACTTCACTTTGAAACTGAAAGTCTAGGGTATGTACCGTTCAAAAAAAGTCTTGTCTATGAAACCACAATAGTTAGCATTGTTCAGTTTAAATCCATCGAATTTGAATGGTTCAATAATGGTTTAGGCTAAAATTTCAGTCCATATCATGACACTACTGCCTCCTTGCTGACTTCTTTTAGCTCCAGGTACATCTGAATTAGATAAAAACCATCCTTTCGCTGGAAACTTCCCTCTCCAAAAGGCAATACCTGCTCCTATTTATACGCTCAACCATCCGGCCCATCGAATGTCACCTGAAATTCGTCCATGAAAATGTCTTGAGAAAAGTTATCGTTTATGTATTTCTTGACCTAATTTTAACACTTTGAAATATTTGCTTCACTGAGAGGAGTTTGCCGCCTCGTAGATCTTTTAACAAATCCCAACTTGCGAAGCATTCTACACCTTTTTGTCCTTCTTGACTCCCTCAATTCCAGCCTGTTAAAAAATCAGACCTCTGGTCAAAAGTGGCTGTTTCCCATACCTCGCTTTAGTTTACGTTTCCCTCGCAAATACAAGTTCTTAAAACCTTTTCCTTTGCTTCTAGTTAACAAACTTAGTTATATTTTCTTAAATATTATTTTTATATTGTTCTATAAAGCTTTGATTCGACGTCTAAAATAATCGTTTAAAATTTGAAGAAAAAATTTGTTCAATGCAAATTCGAGTTAATGGGGTTTATGTGATTTGCATAATTTCACTCAATGTATGAATGGACCCACCTCTTTCATATTATTACTTTTAAACAGTAAACTTCTAACTTTAAGGGCTCTCAACCTTGTATTGGTTGAATTTTCGTATGAAAAAAACCTTTGTACCTATCTTAGTTTGGTCATACACGCTTCTTAGTCCACCTGTATTTATTTCATTTCCTTCACATCTATCTATCATAGTCGGTAAATTATTTATTTATCTATCTATTTATTTATCGATCAATCGCTCAATCTATCTTAGTCTGTTCATCATCTATTTAGCACAGTATATTTATTATCTATGTATCTACCTATCTATCATAGTCTATTCATTATCTATCTATCTATAGTCGGCAAATTATTTATCTATCTATCACAGTCTTCATTGTCTATCTACCTATCTATCAGTCTGTTCATTATATATCTATTTATCTATCTATCATAGTCTATTCATTATCTATCTATCTATAGTCGGCAAATTATTTATCTATCTATCACAGTCTTCATTGTCTATCTACCTATCTATCAGTCTGTTCATTATATATCTATTTATCTATCTATCATAGTCTATTCATTATCTATCTATCTATAGTCGGCAAATTATTTATCTATCTATCACAGTCTTCATTGTTCATCTACCTATCTATCAGTCTGTTCATTATATATCTATTTATCTATCTATCATAGTCTATTCATTATCTATCTATCTATAGTCGGCAAATTATTTATCTATCTATCACAGTCTTCATTGTCTATCTACCTATCTATCAGTCTGTTCATTATATATCTATTTATCTATCTATCATAGTCTATTCATTATCTATCTATCTATAGTCGGCAAATTATTTATCTATCTATCACAGTCTTCATTGTCTATCTACCTATCTATCAGTCTGTTCATTATATATCTATTTATCTATCTATCATAGTCTATTCATTATCTATCTATCTATAGTCGGCAAATTATTTATCTATCTATCACAGTCTTCATTGTCTATCTACCTATCTATCAGTCTGTTCATTATATATCTGTTTATCTATCTATCATAGTCTATTCATTATCTATCTATCTATAGTCGGCAAATTATTTATCTATCTATCACAGTCTTCATTGTCTATCTACCCATCTATCAGTCTGTTCATTATATATCTATTTATCTATCTATCATAGTCTATTCATTATCTATCTATCTATAGTCGGCAAATTATTTATCTATCTATCACAGTCTTCATTGTCTATCTACCTATCTATCAGTCTGTTCATTATATATCTATTTATCTATCTATCATAGTCTATTCATTATCTATCTATCTATAGTCGGCAAATTATTTATCTATCTATCACAGTCTTCATTGTCTATCTACCTATCTATCAGTCTGTTCATTATATATCTATTTATCTATCTATCATAGTATGTTCATTATGTAACTATCTATAGTCGGCAAATTATTTATCTATCTATCACAGTCTTCATTGTCTATCTACCTATCTATCAGTCTGTTCATTATATATCTATTTATCTATCTATCATAGTATGTTCATTATGTAACTATCTATAGTCGGCAAATTATTTATCTATCTATCACAGTCTTCATTGTCTATCTACCTATCTATCAGTCTGTTCATTATATATCTATTTATCTATCTATCATAGTATGTTCATTATGTAACTATCAAATTCTGTTCATTATCCATCTATAGTCGGTAAATTATTTATTTATCTATTTATCTGTCGATCGACCGATCTATCTTCGTCTGTTCATTATCTCTCTCTCTCTCTCTCTATCTATCTATCTCTCTCTCTCTATATATATATATATATATATATATATATATATATATATATATCACAGTATTTCCATTATCTATCTATCTACCTACGTATCATGGTCTGATCATTATCTATCTCCCGTAGTTTGTTCATTATGTATCTATCGTAGAATGTTATCTATCTATCTATCTATCTATCTATCTATCCTGTTCATATATATCATTTTTTCTACTTTTCTCTCTTCTCCGTCTTAAATTCCTGACTTCAATTTTACTTAATCACGTCATTTTTTTCTGCCATTCTAACGTGTTACAAACGCTCCATGTCATTCAAATTCTTTTATTTTTGTTATTGCTTTGTTTTTTTGTTTTTTTTTAATTTTCCTCTACAGATATAAACATTAACACGCATCACACAAAAGGAATTATGCCCTCTAAACATGTGAGTAAATACAGAAAGGGTGAGACAGACCACGAAAAGATAAGAGGAATCAAATAAGAAATTAACAAAAAAAATCAAAAAAAAAAAATGGGGGAGACGAGAGAAAGTGTTTTTCCCGCGTGCAAACAAGCTCAAAATGGAAAGGAAGAAAGCGAAACGGTCCGTTGTGCTTCGTAATTAAGTTATTTCGTCGCGTTGTATTTGTCCTAATGAAGGACAGATTGGGTATTGATGACATGGCAAGAAAAACACGTTATCAAGAGCTGATTGGTGAATTAGACAACAAATAAAAAGATTGAGAGAAGGGCGAAACGAGAAAATGACTTAACGCTTCGATGGAGTATTATGTGTAAAAGTGAGCAGTTAGGTGCAAGTATTTTGTTTGTTTGTTTTTTGTGGGGGTGTCTGTTTATTTTTTTTTATGTGGGGGTGTTTGTTTATTTTTTTGCTTTTTGTTTCTTTTTTTTAGCTTTGTGCTAATGCTTGTTTTTTTTTGCATGGGTTTTTTTAGGTGAATCACATGCTTTTTTAATTTTTTACTGTGTATGTGTTTATTGTCGTGTCAGTCTATAACCCATAACCATCGCTGATAACACTGGCACAAGGCCTACGAGTCTCTTTCTCTTTATGCAGCTATGAATCAATAAATCCGTAGCCTGGCAGGGTGATCAGCTGAATTTTGATCTAAAACCTTTCACTGTAGTATAGTACACGTACCAGCGCAGGATCGCTGAAGCTGTTTGTTTTCACTAAGTATTATTACTATTGAAAAAAGGCATAAACCTATTTCTCCCGGCGCCTTCTTCCCTTGCTACATATCTTTTCACTGGTATGCCACGATAGCTGATGGAGAAACTAGTCAGTGCGTGAGCATGTTGTAAAAACGCTCTGTCTTAATTAACATCCAAAGAGTAAAGTCACTAATAACTTTTACAGAAGGACCATAAATAGCTTTCTATGCTTCTGTACATACGAGGGATGAATTAATAAATCCGTAGCCTGATATGATTAGCTAAATTTTGTTCTGAAAGTTCTACTGTATAGTACGCACATGTACACGTGGTTACAGTAGCGTCATTGTTTACAGGCTTTTCTAGCAAGCAGCTTGGCTGGAAAAATTACTTTTAGTACAAAATAGGCACCCTGCTTTGATTAATAAAAGACAGTAGCCTGATACAGTTATTAACTGAATTTTATTCTGAAATTTTCAGTCTGTAATATTCTTCTTTGTGACCAACTGAGAAACGTCCAGTTCATTGCATTGATAAGGAAAAAAATGATAATCGTTTTTCATCGTTAGGGCATAAGATTCTTGATGTATGTATACACAGACACACACCCAATATTGTTCTTGATATATAAAAAAATCATATATCGTTATCTCATATATATATTGTTGTGGTCTTGTTAGGGCCAGAAATAAGAACACAAAGAGAGGAATTGAGTTAAACAAATATATTAACAGAAACAGTAATACAAACATACACAAACGAGAGTGTTACAGCAAGAATGTTCGTTCCGACTGTCAGAGCTGACTGCTGGAAACTTTTCTCTCCAAAAGGCAGTACCTGCTCCTATTTATACCTGCGTATATTTATTTACATGCGTGGTAAATTACCATAACATATATATATATATGTGTGTGTGTGTGTGTGTGTGTGTGTGTGTGTGTGTGTGTGTGTGTATATATATATAATTATTTACCCGCTGCCTCACGCAGCAAGATGTGGCAGAAAGGCCGAGTTTAAAGTGGGGTATCCGAGCCCGTAGGCTCGGGCAAAAATTCCGTATAGACCACATAAAAACGGAGTCAGTTTCCCGAGACGAGACGAGACGAGACGAGACGAGACTCTGCCCTTAAGCCAGGTAATTATATATATATATATATATATATATATATATATATATATATATATATATATTTGGTTGGATAGATGTGAGTCTGTGACCCTGGGTTTCGCGCTTTAGCGATCGTAACTTGATATTGAGCGCTTTCTAATAAGTATCGCGCATATAATATATAAATAATTATACATATATATATTTATTTATATTTATATACACTTTTTCACACACACACACACACACACACACACACACATATATATATATATATATATATTGGTTGCTCGTTTTCTGAGTACGGTCATCCGCTAAAGTGGCTAGCTAATCCCTGTTGCAGACACTCGCTGAGGCATATTTGTTTTAAGTGCAGATATGCTGAGCAGATCAGTATAGAGAGATAGTATAACTGTTATGACCTGTACACTCATCCCATCTGTCACGACGACTTTGTGATAGAACAACTATCGACTGCTTGTGAACAATTTCGTCTACCATACTTCATTCACAAGACATTGTTCAATCCTTGCTAGGGGCTTTCAGACATGCCGGGATCGTCTCCTTACGCCGATATTATCAATAAATAATCTCCCTGGCGAGATTTGAACATGGGTCTCTTAGTCGGAAATCTACCGTACTAACCACGTGCCCATAAATGCACACAAATCGTGTTAATGGACACTGTTACTTGCAGTAGATGGATTATAGCGTCACATTCTTCAAGATTCTTCTTGAACAATTTCTGTCTTAATTCTACTCCCACACCATCCACAGTTACCGAAACAACTTTGTCAGTACAGCCACCGTCGTCAGCAAGTGCTGCAGTTTTATCCCATCAATTTTAATCATTACCACAAATACCCTACTCCACCATACTGCTCCTCTGCCGCCATTACTATTTCCTTTCGCCCTATTGCTGTGTGCCTATTACTACCGGCGGCAACAATAATGACGAATATAACAACAGTACTCATTAACTATCAACTTGTCGTAAGCTTTCTGCAACCAAAAGTGCACTGCAAACAATTCAGAACAATTATAGCATTTCCAATGTCTCGTTTGATAAATGGCGCGAGATTTCTTTCGTTTACTTTTCCTTCTTCTCTGTCTCTATCTCCCTCTCTGTCATGCTCTCTCTCTCTCTTTCTCTCTCTCCCTCTCTCTCTCTCTCTATCTCTCTCTCTCTCTCTCATTTATTTGTGTGTTTTGTTTTTTTGGGGGGGGGCTTCTTTTTTAAGATTCTTGTTTTTATTTTCCCATTTTTCTGTTTTGTTTTGTTTTTCTCCATCTCGCCTTCGTTTTATCTCGGGCAATTCTTTCGTTTTCATTTCCTCTACCCACTCTTAACTTTGTCTATCACCCTCTATTATGCCCTCTTTCTTTCTCTATCTCTCTCTCTCTCTCTCTTTCTCTCCCTCTCTCTCATTCTATTTCCCTTTTGTTTTCTCAGCATATTCTCTTTTGTATTATTTCCCTTTATCGTTACCTTTGGCATTAACTTTTTTATTTTTTTTTTTTTTTTTTTTTGTTACTTCCTCTCTCAGTTTTCTCTCTCTTTTTTACCCTCTTATTTATATCTATATCACCCTCTCTCGTTTTCACTCATTATTTCGGCTTTTTTTTTATTTGCATCCAATATTTATTTGGTTTTTATCTCATTTACCCTTTCTCTCAATGTTCTCTCTTTTTATAGCCTCTTTTCGTGCATAGAGATTGTAAGAAATGTTACTTGGGCAGTTCTTACATATTCTATGTCCAAAAAAGAAATTAGTTTAACGAATGCAAGAAAAGTATAATAAAAGGCTTAACTGAAGTCAGTCGACTTCAATGAAACCTGTATAAAAGAAGGCTTGCCACCCAAATAGATTATATATAGGCAGAATTTCTCTATTCAAGCATCTTAGATTAAATAATCTAGATACATTATGTCATTTTCTTATCTTAATCCCCCTCAAATTCACGTACCAATTTCTTAGTGCTTTTACAAAGAGTAAGAAAGACACCATAGTTTTGGTCATATCTTTAATTTTCCCAAGTACTTTCAATCTCATCCAAAATCATCTTCAGGAGTGAAAATTAGTGTAATTGATAGTTGTGTGTTTTTTGTTTTTGGTTTGTTTGTTTTTTGATTTTTTAAATGAGCATGCACGCACTCTGTTATAGATTATCCGTACTTTCGTCATAATATAACTTTAGACAAGGGTGCAGATAATTTTTTACTTTTACATATATATATATATATATATATATATATATATATATATATATATATATATATATATAGTGTAGATGATGAAAATTACCTAACCATTTCAGTTTACTCACATCCATCTATCTATCGTTGTTCACATCTATCTCCTATCTACGTATCTCCACATTTATATATCAAGCAACAAATGTATAAATGTTTATTATTTATCCCTTATCCTATCATTCTTACGGATTCTAATAAATATTCCACACAAATTTGTATATATATATATATATATATATATATATATATATATATATATATATATATATATATTACATGAATCATTCATTCAAAAAAAACAGATATAGAAGTTAATGATATAAATGGCGAGAATACATCTTCGCAAACAAATTTAATAAAGTACATTAACCTCGAACCTGTAGATGAATGTTATGATCCCTGTTTATAAATTCCAGTTGCATAAGGTCTTTTTTTAGATTTTTACAAGCTTTCATCTGTTCATACAGACATCTTCATGTATGGAAATAGATTTGTTTTTGTTTTTTACTTCTCGGAAATAAAAAAAATTCTTACAATTAACAATAACGCATTTCTAAAAACATATTTCGGATTACATCTATTTTTTCGTTGTCCTGTTATTACCGAACTGCACCACATACCTGATAAATATATATATATGAGACATTTTTATGTTTAACGTTGTTATTTATAGATACAAGTATTTAAGCAAATGCTCTGTTTATGATAAACAGTATTAAATAACATTTACCTGCCTGAACATCCGAGAAATTTTCATAGAAAATATTCGTTCTGCATCCTATACGGAACCGTCATATACGCTGACGTGCCTTGACCGCTCGGCCACAAAGAACCTTACGGTAGACAAGGTCGAATTTACTGTTTATAAACTTCAATCTTCCATGAATCTCGTACATTCATAACTGCTCTGGCGTATCGAATGTAAACAAATGACGTCATATGTTTAGAAATGGACAAGGTCCGACAATTTATTTATTAAAGACATTTTTATGTTTAACGTTGTTATTTATAGATACAAGTATTTAAGCAAATGCTCTGTTTATGATAAACAGTATTAAATAAATAACAACGTTAAACATAAAAATGTCTTTAATAAATAAATTGTCGGACCTTGTCCATTTCTTAACATATATATATATATATATATATATATATATATATATATATATATATGTATGTATTGAACTTTTTTGTTCAGTAAGATCTCTCGATCATTCAGGCCAGTTGACAAAAATAAATAAATATACTGTTTAATAAATAAATGGGTAGTCTACTCAAATACGAGTATCGGACTAAAAATGTTTAAAGCGATAAAAATCTGTCGGATTAATTTAAAAAAAAAGTACGACGCATCCTTCTTTTTTCACTCTCACACATCTCTCCCACACTTAAGGGAGTAATCAACAACAGTTGTAAGTACAAAAGTGGACAAGTAAAGCACTTATTTTAAGGAATATTGATTTTGAGACAATGAAAAAAGGCCATAAGGCTATTTTGAGTGATGTCTTAGTTTAAAGGTTCCTGTAAAGTTACTCTGAAAAAAGAAAATAAACGTTTTCTACCTCGTTTTCGTTTCTCTTTGCGTCAAACACTCATATTAGCCGCATCATTCAATGTATTTTCACGTTCCTTCTACATAAGAAAGAAATGTTTTATTCGACACGCCATATATTTTCCAAGAAAACCTATACAATTACATAGGTTTCATGTTTCAAAAGACGAAATATAATTTGAAAATTAAATAGGTTGTTCATTCTTTCTTTCTATCTTAGTATGTTCAGTCAATTTATCTATTTGTATCAGTCTATTCGTATCTCTCCCTCTCTCCCTCTCCCTCTCTCTCTCTGTCTCTCTCTCTCTCTATATATATATATATATATATACACACACACATATATATGTGTGTGAGTGTATATATATATATATATTAGCAATAATAATAATAATCAAGAAGAAAACCTTAAATATTCATTTCCGTTATAATTTATTTCGTGAATATCTATATATTCAACTCTTCAGACCGAAACATATATATATATATATATATATATATATATATATATATATATATATATATATATATATATATATATCATAGTCTGTTCATTATCTATCTATCTATCTATCTATCTCAGTCTGTTCAGTTCTTTCTATACCAGTCTGTTAACGATCTATCTATCTATATATATATATATATATATATATATATATATATATATATATATATATATATATATATCTTAGTATGTTCATTATCTATGTATCAATTTATCGATCTCGTTCTATTCGTATCAGTCTATTCGTATCAGTCTATTCGTACCTACCTATCTATCTATCTATTATAGTCTGTTTGTCATATATCTATGATAGTCTTTTTATTATCTATCTCTCTATCAGTCTATCCATTTCATATCTATCTGTTTATCTCTCTATCTCTGTTACTATTTATCTATCTCTCATTCTCAGTCGATTCTGTTCTTATTTGTCTATCTACCTCAGCCTATATCTATATATCTATCTCAGTCTGTTCACATCTATCTAGCTTGTAGCCATCTCAGTTTACTCATGTGTTTAATCTATACCTCTGTCTATCTATCTATCTATCTATCTATCTATCTATCTATCTATCTATCTATCTATCTATCTATCTGTTTTGCATATTTTCCTTTATTTGTCATTATCGCTTTTACGTTTACCCTAGCGTCTTCTCTATTCATTAATTTCAATCGCCCTTTCTTTTGCTTTATATCAAGTTGTCTCTCGCTTTTGCTCTTTGCCTTTATTTCTATCTACCTCTCCTTCGAGAAAATAGAAAAAATATAACAATATACTTTAATAAATCTCGTCCTTATCGTAGATCTAATTAAGCACAATAACAGATTAGCATCATTAACTAATAATAAAAATAAAAAAAAAACAATATACTGTAATAAATGTTGTGTAAAGAATGGAAAATTCCTTTTTACTGTAGAACTTAGCAACATCAGCAGATTTTTTCCTGTCCATGTTCTCTTAATAACTTTCACTTTTTTCACTTAAAAGAAACACGTTGAGATCTCACTTTAATATTTCTGAATTGCCGATATCACGTTTCTTGCACTTCGGAACTAATATTAACTCATTATCGAAACAGTAAAATTTGATATTAATTTTTTGAATTAATAACTCGGTGTAAATTATAAGTTTACATATTGCCTGAAATTAAATTTAAAAAAGGTTAAAGTAAGATTGAAGGGCAAATTAAATAAATTTAAATATAACTTCCAATGTGTCAGCGAACACTACTGTTACCTTAACTTTAATAATATTTAAAATAATATTTAAAATAATATTTAAAATATTTGAAATAATATTTAAAATATTTAAAATAATATTTAAAATAATATTTAAAATAATATTTAAAATATTTAAAATAATGTATAAAATAATATTTAAAATAATATTTAAAATATTTAAAATAATATTTAAAATAATATTTAAAATATTTGAAATAATATTTAAAATATTTAGAATACTATTTAAAATATTTAAAATAATATTTAAAATATCTAAAATAATGTTTAAAATAATATCTAAAATAATATTTAAAATATTTAAAATAATATTTAAAATAATATTTAAAATATTTAAAATAATATTTAAAATAATATTTAAAATATTTAAAATAATATTTAAAATATTTAAAAGGTATTTAAAATAATATTTAAAATATTTAAGATAATATTTAAAATATTTAAAATAATATTTAAAATATTTAAAGTAATGTTTAAAATAATAATTAAAATAATAATTAAAATAATAATTAAAATATTTAAAATAATATTTTAAATAATATTTAAAATATTTGAAATGATATTTAAAATATTTTGAATACTATTTAAAATAATATTTAAAATATTTAAAAATAATATTTAAAATATCTAAAATAATGTTTAAAATAATATTTAAAATAATATTTCAAATATTTAAAATAATATTTCAAATAATATTTAAAATATTTAAAATAATATTTAAATTATTTAAAATAATATTTCAAATAATATTTAAAATAATATTTCAAATATTTCAAATATTTCAAATAATATTTAAAATATTTAAAATAATATTTAAAATATTTAAAATAATATTTAAAATAATATTTAAAATATTTAAAATAATATTTAAAATATTTCAAATAATATTTAAAATAATATTTAAAATAATATTTAAAATAATATTTAAAATAATATTTAAAATAATATAATATTAAAAAAAAGAAAAAGAAAAACATCACCTAACCCTCTTTTTCGTTCTGCCGGCCATAAGCTTTTTTTAACCCGATGTAAATTAGTTCGACCCTTCTTATTTACAAATTTCCTTTTCACCCTTTGACCGCCAATCAGCCCAAGAACTATGCAATTCATATGTTTTACTTAACCTGTCCATGCTAATCTTTATGAAAATAAAAATCCGCTATTAACGATAGATTTCTATAAATATCCGGATGATTTATGAGAAATCTAGTATTAATTATAGTTTTCTACCCATAAGCCCTTTCGGTAGCCACTGATGATGAAATTAACCGTTTCCTTATAAGGAAACATTCGGCATTCAATGACCGAACATTTACCGTTACTATCAGATGAAATTTATAAAATCTTTTTCTCGAAACAGTTTTTCAGGAAATGAAACTCCTCAAAAACATTTTTATCCCCCTCTTTCTAGTATCGATGGGGGTTTCCTTTCAAACCTTTTGCTTTTAGCATTGTGGAATGTCAACGTCTTGATTCTATCGTTATTTTACGTGTGCTATCCATTTTAGTTGTTACTGCTGTTGGAAATCTTCAAGCGATGTGTTATTTTTTTCATTGCTTAAAGTTCCCAGTGATTTTGTAGCGCCACTCTGTAGGATTTATAGGATTCATTTGCTTGAAGCCATTTTTAATCAGTGATCTGAGAAGATGGTTGTCTATAGATGATAATTTAAACATTTCTGAAAATATAGGACGCAATTTACAGGTTAATCAAAATATGAATTACCCTCAGTAATCTAAGCCGCTAATAATTGAGTCATTTTATAATGGTTATATTTTATCGTAAGCAATTTGAATAACGATTATTTACATTATTCGGACTATTGTCCTCATCTTTGTCGCCATATTTATCACAACGTTTCGGCCGTTGTACGCTCCGGCCTTCTTCAGGTGGTTGGAATTTCGAACTGAACCCTTTATTACTGGGGTAGACTGTTTTCGTTCCACGTGCCATGTTTGATGGATGTCAGTTATTAGTTATCTCCTGATAATTTCCCTCTGAAAGTTCTCCACTGCCTTAATTGGGTATTGAACTCTTTGGGTCCTAACCAATGCCTTTATCCACTGTGCCATGTGTCCTCAGTGTAAAGTGGGATAATAATGGCAAATGTTTTACCGCTCAATATGTCACATTTACCAAGAGTTAGTTTAGAAAAGGAGAATTCGTATTGAGAGTCTATTGAAATGTGTTTTGTATCTCATAAAAGTCGGTTTCTTCGTATAACTTTGATTAAGCTGAAAGTATATACAGTCGATATAAAGCAACCCGATATAAAGTGTATATCAGTGAATAAGTTGCGAAAATGTTTTTTCAAGTAGAGGAAATGATGTAAAAAGTAAAAAAAAAAAAAGAAAGAGACTGATTTGTTTTATTTATTTATTTTCCGTTTTTTTTATTTCTTCATCAAAAGAACAAAAACATTAAAATATACAAAAGTGTAAATAAAACAAAAAAAAATGTTAAGATATTTGTTGATTTCTTTACCAGATATGTCAAGTGGAACTTCTTTCAGGGCAAGCAATTTCATGACGGCTGTTCCTGGACTTTACTGGTCAATCACGTCGGGTTATCTGAAGGCTCTGGATCTGACAAGAGGCAGTGGTGTGTGTTTGGTGTTAAACGAGTTGCGAAAAAGAAAGTCAGGATTGCAAAGAATTAAAAAAATAAAAAAGAAAGAAAGAAGACGGTAATTGTAGCAGAGGTTGAAGAAAGTAAGGAGAGAGAAACAAGTGAAAGTAATAAGAAATGAATACAGGAGTATAAGCAAGAAATAATGATGTAAAAAACATGGTCGACAATAAAAAGAAGCAAGAACGAAAACGAGACTGGAAAACAAAAAGGAAAGTATGCTTAAAATATTGGAAGTAAAATAATCGGAAAAATCCAGATGAAATGTGAATAAAAATGAAATAAAATGTCTCACAAATTATGAATAACTTCATGAATGGGTATATAGGTAGCTCCACGAGATCGCTACAAAAAGAGCATAGCATGATAAAAAAGACGCCAAACTTGACGAAAACAAAATGTTATCGTCTAAATGTTTATGTTATTATTAAGAGGAAAGATCAAAGTTTATTTCAATTACTTTAAAAAAAATTTCCTTCTTTTTAAAACAATCGGAATTTTCATTTAAAAATCCTTGTTTCTCTTTGTATCACCGGAACTAGTAAATTAACATATACAATTTATAGTATTTTTTTTTTTTTTTTTTTTGTATGACATACATTAATTTGATCTTTTAAATCTTGCAAAAAAAAAAATAATAAGTTGGATTATAAACGAATGAATGAATGGAAGATGTCTAGAGTAAAAAAAATGTAGACGTAAGAATAGACACAAGTCTAAAAAAAAGTGAGAAAATAAAAAAAATAAAAAAAAGGAAGGTGTACTACTTCTGGTTCATAATCGTTGTAACTTTCGCATACTAATCTGATAGAGTAAATGTAACAATTATTAAGCGACAGGAATACCTCGGAATGACGTATTTAATTTCTGATTTACATAAATGCTTTACCGAAGAATATACTCCGATCATTTATAAACGACTACGTCGATGATACAAGGATATCGTAAAATCGTATCCGAGTCCTTGTTGGAGAAGAATTGTTTTCCGCACCCCAACCTCTCTTTCACGGGTGGGATGTGGCGTACCTCTCACTGCTCTATTGCTACTAGCGAGGAAAGTGCTCGGACGAACTACATCTCTTAGTTCGACCAGGTCTGCCCTTCACGGCTAGGACCCGCCATTACACTTACATAATAGCAAACCACTCAAATTCCATCCGTATTCCATCGGCGAGAAGGAACTTTCACTCAAGCAACGTCTTCCCGCGAACCACTCTCCCCCGCTGTAGAACAGACTCTCAAGGGGATGTTTCCCCGATCACTACAATCTTAATCCGTTCAAATCTAGAGTCAACGATTATCTTCCCCTCCTATCTATATAACCTACCCTGTAACGTAACCGTCTACCTCAAGTGGCCCCCGGGCTTTGTACAGGGTGAACTTTACTGTAAATAAAATGGTCTGATCGTCTATTGCTACTGAGTTTGAACCTCACTGTGTGCGCCATACTTGTGAAAAGTATGGCGGACACAGTGATAAACTAAGCTAAGCTTATTAAACGGCTACAAATATTGTAGAGGAAAATAGAGGATCAAAAAATGACATTTGAAGAACTATTTTATCAGAGAGACGTGAAAAAGTTAACAAAAATCGATATATATATATATATATATATATATATATATATATATATATATATATATATATATATATATATATGAAGAAAATATACGGAAAAAAAAGCAAAAATCTCAATATGCAATTATGCTGTTTTAATGTTAATATAATGTCAACGTCGGACGTTTCGGTCTAATAGACCATCTTCAGGACATATTCATAAAACATAATTAACATAGACACATACAATTCAACATGAAAAAGACGATGGACATAAAAGCAAGACCAATCCAAACAGATTTTGTTTGTTTTTTCGTATATTTTTTCTTCATACTGTCGGATCT